CTGGGGTTTTTTTTTTCCTGTTAACTCTTTGTTCATATTCCTATGTCCATTTTGCTATTGGATTATTGATCTTTTTTCTTATTAATTTGTAGATGTTCTTTACATAAAAGGTAATTAGCCCTTTGTGATATCTTTCCTTCTTTGATTTGTTTGCTAGTTTTCCTCATTTGTTTGATTTTGCTTATGATATTTTATCCCACACAAAAATCTTTTTAACATAGTTGAACTTAAGTCTTTTATTTCATGGCTTTTGGATTTTGTGTTCATATTCCCTACATGAACATTATAAAGAAAACATTGAGTTCCATATTTTTAGTATTTTATTTCTTTATTTTTAGAGAGGGGAAGGGAGGGAGAACGAGGGGGAGAGAAACATCAATGCGTGGTTGCCTCTTCCATGTCCCCTACTGGGGGTCTGGCCTGCAACCCAGGCATGTGCCCTGACTGGGAATCGAACTGTTGACCCTTCGGTTTGCAGACTGGCACTCAATCCACTGAGCTACAGCAGCCAGGGCAAGTTCGGTATTTTTATGGTTTAATTTTTTACATTTAAATTTTTGACCCAAATGAAATGTATCCTGAAGTATAAAGTATAAATTTAAATTACCTTTTCCTGTCTGGCCATCTAGTTTTGCCAACCGCCTTTGCAAAGTGATCTGTCTGTCCCCTTCATACATGAAATGTCACTTTTATCAGATATTAAATGCCTATATGTGCTTGGGAGTACTTATTTTCCACTGATGTGTCTGTGTATTCATATGCTAGTACCACACAGCTTTATTATTATAACTTTCTACTCCAATTTAATATTTGATAGGAAAAAAAACCTGGGAAGGTTGGCCACCCTTTATTACCTTTCTTTTTTTGAATTTTCATAGCTATTTTTATTTGTTTTTCCAATGAATTTTCTAATAGTTTCTCTAGGTCATCTAAATTTAAATTATGTAATTTAAGTATACTTAAAACAGTAAATATATAGATTAGTTTAGGGTAAACTGATATCTTGATGATATTGAATTTCCCTATTTGAGAATTTGGTGTGCCTTTCCATTTATTCAAACCTTTCATGTGCCTCGGGATCCTTTTAAGGTTTCTTTAAGTATAGATTTTGCACACTTCTTCTTAAATTTAAGTTAAAACACTTTGTCTTTTTATTATCATTGGGAGCCCTACAAATCGGTATTTCAGGCAATAATCCCGCCACACGTTCAGTGGTTCCTTTTGCCTCTAGAATGAAATCTAAACTAATTAGCCTTTCATTCAGGGCTTTCCACGTCTGGTTTAAAACCTATTTCAACACGTTCCCTTCTGACCCATAGCTACCAGGAGTCCCCTCAAACAAGCTCTGTCCTTTCCTGGCTCTCTTGTGGGCGCATTCCATCTCTGTTCCCTTCCTCCTCTGCCCATTCAAAGTGGTTTCCTTTGTGAACTCCCCCTGCCCTTGACTACTCCAATTAGAAATGACCTCTCTCCTCTTGGACCTTGACCATTTTTCGTATGTGCCATTTATCTGGTAATTAATCCAATATGACCTGGCAACAGCTTCTGTGTTATTAAAATGACCTGCCCTTTACCTCTTGTGTGGTTGCAAAATTAACTATTTGTGGGTTTGTGTAACTATTTGTGGGTTTGTTTCCTCAGCTGGCCTGTGAGGGCCTTGGGGAGAGTGAGCCAACTTCAGGCTCCCACAGCATGTAGGACCAGCTTGCACATACAAACAGTAATAGCAGTGATGCTAAGAATGACAGTTAACATTGACAGCAAGCTTTCTGTGGGCCAGGTACTGTTTTCGGCACCTTCCATGTATGAACATGTATTTGTAGATAACTATTTGAGAGTTTTGGTATTGTGGGTTTATTTGGCCTCAAGTAAACCTTTGAAGGAGGGTATAAAGGAAATAGCACCCAGTCACAATACCCAGACAGTAATTCTAGCTAGCTGGTCAGAGGAGAAGGTGAGTTTTCTAGGAAAAGCCCTAACCCACAGGGGCGAATGAGGATGGCCACAGTACGGGAAGGAAAGGGAGAGAAGCCGATGGGAGTGGAGAGGCCCCAGCTTTGATGGCAGCAGGGGCACGAGGAGTGACCGTGACTCAGGCCATGGGGGGGATTTATCTCCTTTCCTGTACGGGCAGGGGCAGGGTTAGGGCTCTGAAAATACGGCCTGGCTGCTGGCAGGCCATGCTTAGGTCTCCTTTCCACAGCAGGTCCCTGCGCAGAGTGACACAAGTGCCCTGGGGCCAGCGGGTCCGATGCATGGCTGCGTCCCGGACCTGTTTGAACCACCTGGGTTCCCAGCCCAGCTGGCTCCAAGCCACCTGCCTCTCCTGCACTTGGGAGGCTCCTGAGTGAATGTGCTGAGCATGCTGATGTGGAGCAGCCAGAGCCAACAAGCTAATGGAAATTAATCCCCGCCCCTGGGCCTTTTCTCTCCTACGATCATCATTAGCCTCTCAGACTCTTTCCCATGTCTCCACGCTGCAGAGGGTTTCAGGGTGCGGGGGGGTTCTGGGTAGTTTCACTCCAGCCTTCAAGTAAAGGCAGCCTGGACACCAGACGCCTGCCTAAGCTCTAAACCTGCACTTCCAATATTTTGGGTACAAGAGGCATCATTCCTGTGTCAAAAAGGGGAGATCTGCACTGATTTACATGCCAGCCCAGCAGCCTAGAATTTAATTCCACATACCCAGCTAGACGTACTTTGTTACACTTTGCTAGGCACAAATAAATGGGTCTCAGCACCCATGTAATGAAGTTTTTGGATCCTTAAAGAAGGAGAGAGAAGAAGGGGCTTTCATGTTTTGAGACACTCACCTCTAAAGGGGCTAAAAATTTCAACCCCTTGGTCAGAGCTCCACTATTGATTGGAAGGGCTAGCCTCTTAAAGAACAGCTCTGATTTCTGGGGGCTGCGCTGTGGGACTGCGGCTGACTCTGCTGAATCTAAACGTGGCCCAGAATCAATGCAACCGCTTTCTGTCCAGTACGTCATCAAAACTTCAGCTGTGTTTTACTGAAGCAGTGCTTGAAATCAAGAAAGTGGTTGAATTTGCTGCCAACAAAAGAGTAAGGGGGCTTTCTCCCCTGTAACTTTGCCCAGTGGCCTACAGTGAATGAAATGCCGTTTCAGTTTTATATTTAAGATTTGTATAGTCAGAAGTAGTAGTTTCCTTTTCTTCTAAGTCTTATTTAGATGGCTGCTATTGAATTCTTTATATGTGACTCCAGCGTATGTCATACTTATGATAGAGTGTGTCTGCCTCGAGGGTAGGAGCTGCCCTTCTGTCCTTGAATTGCCACCTCTACCCAGAGCCTGGCACCTAATGGTTGTACAGTAAATATCTGCCAAATGAATGAACAAATGAATAAAGGGTCTGAGCTCCTAATGCTAACATAGCCTTGCAGTGGGAGGGAATTTGATGCTGTGAGCCTCAGGAACTGCCAGGTATACCCTCGAGGCAGTGCTGGCTGGACTCCTCGTTTTGTTGTTGTTAAGGCAGATATTTAATAATTTAAGAAGCCAGCCCTTCCACAGCTCGGGCTCAGCTGAGCAGACATTTAGCCTGCTCCCGAGGCGCTGACATCCCTTCCTGGCTGCGCCTCTCTGAGTCTTCCCTTGCTGTGACTGACCCTTGGGGATCCTCCAAGGCCACAGGCCCAGCCACATTGTCAGGTCAACTGTGGCCTGGATTCGTCAACCAAAGTGCCCAGAAGCCAGTTACCACAGACAGTTCACTACAGCAAACAGAAGGAGGGTTCACTCCTCATCCTCTTTCTCTCCGTCTGTTTCTTTCTACCGCTCTTTCCTCCCTTCTCTCTCATTCACCTCTCCTCCATTCTTTCTTCTAGCCCAGCCTTCTGTCCTCCCTCCAGCTTCTCGTTCAAGCTCCCCAGCCCTAGCTGGACAGGTTGCCAGCACCTGTTTTACAGAGGTGCTAAGAGGTAGCCCAGCAGACCTGCTACAACATGAGCCAGAGCCAGGTTTGGCTGATGCTGATTTAGGATTGGGGGTGGGTGTCATGTCAGCTCCCCAGGGCTGAAGATGGAGGACTCCTGCCTGCCATTCTGGTGTGAGAAGGGTAGCCACGGGTAGCCCCCAGCCCAAGCCACTGTTATCCCTAACCCCATGTGGGTCATACATTCCACACAGTCTCACTGTGTCCTTGTTCATCATTCCCCTCTCCCTGCCCGGAGCTCCTTGAAAACAGGTACTTCATTTTCCCTGCATGTGTCATCAAACTGGCACAGGCCTGCCACCAATAGGTGCTGAGTAAATGTCTGTACATTCAGCCACAGCACAGCTAGGCAGTACCCACTGCGTGCCAGGCTCCAAGCCTTGGGGATGTGGAGGTGAACAAGGCAGGCTTCCCTGGGCTCAAGGAGCCTCCAGTCTTGCAGGGGAGATGGACTTTAAGGTAGTACAAGTGTGAAGAGAAACACAAATGACAAATGCAAATGCAAGGTTCAGGGCTCACAAGGGGAGATCTGACCTAGACTAGGAGTCAGGAAAAACTACGAAAGGAATCATCTACACTGACATCCATTTAAAGAATGAATAGGATTTAGATGAAAGGGTAGGGTGAGGAAGGGGTCAAGAGAGCCCATTCTAGCAGAGGGAATACTTGCTGAATGGGTGGGTTGGCGAAGCTGGCATTGAAACCTGAGCTCACTGGCACAATGGTGCAGGGCTTCCTGACTGGCACAGAAAAACAATGGCTGAATGAGGGGTGTCTCCATACAGTGCATAGGGTACGGTAGTGGAAGTTATCTCTTTATTGCCCCAGTCATGGCACGTGGACCTGTGTTGCCAAAAGGCTATGCTCTGATCACAAATGCTCCCCGGAAGGGTGTGGAATAGAAACATCAACCTCCCCTGCCAGGGATGGTAGACCCTGGAGTTCAGAGAAAACTCTTGGATTCCATGTCATTGCACATTCATCTTGCCAACCTTGGAAACCTAACCCGGGACTCTTCCCCACCCCCCCCACCCCGCCCCCGTCAGATGAGCGAGAAGTCGTTCAGAAGAAGACCTTCACAAAATGGGTGAACTCGCACCTGGCTCGTGTGTCCTGCCGCATCACCGACCTCTACAAGGACCTGCGGGATGGGCGTATGCTCATCAAGCTGCTGGAGGTGCTGTCTGGAGAGATGCTGGTAAAGCTTTTGTCTGTGCTGTGGTTCCTTTCCCTGCACCCTGGGCCTGGGCCATCCCGCCCCTTCAGGAAGGCTATGGTCTGGGGTTATCTCCAGTTCTCATGGCCTTCTGAGGTCTCTCCCTATTCTTGTGGGAAGTTTTAATACTTAGTGATGCAAGGTGTCCACATGGCTGACTAGGTTCTCTGACCTGTTCTCAGAATTTCTTGCCTCCTCTGGCCTCTTCCACCCTTCGTGCTTCTCCCAGAAGCCATGTGGGGCACTTGACTTTCTCCATGTAGGATCTGGGCATCTGTGGCTGGTCTGCACTGGCCCACCCTCAGCCTCCTTGCTCGGGCTAAGATATATGGATTGATGGGTTCCCATTACCCAGCTGGAAAAATGAGCATCCTTCTTACGACCAAGAGAAAAGTGTGGAAGATACTCTCTTGTGTGTTCTATTGCTCTTATAAATGGAAGTTTATGACAGGCCCTCTCAGCTGTAACCCACAAGCAGTAATGTTGCCTCTGAGGGAGAACCAGATTAGAGTTCATTTTTTGCTTACTTTCACTGTGACCTTGGGTCTATCAGGCAAGGCCTTCCCTGCCTCATTTTCCCCAAGTGTAAAACTGGGGAAATGATACCTGTGCCTAATGAAGTAATCTACAGTCCTCTGGATTTGAATGGAAAGGTACCACATTCTTCTGTTTCCTTTTCAATTCCAGGCTAAGTTCTGCCTCTCACCCTGCATTGAAAGTCCACTAGAGAGAATTACCCCTGGGAACCCTTCAGATGATGACCTCATTACTTGTCAATGGCAGTCCCCTCCAGTTTGGGCTGGGGCCACTCAGGCTGGGGAGAGAGGAGGTTGGATGGTCGAACAGCCTTAGTATCAATCACCGAACTGAAAGCCAGTCTTATCACCAACTGACAGTAAATAGTTCTCATTGTTGCGCCTGGCACATTGTCAGTGCTCAGCTATCACGTTATTGTGTTCAAATACCATTTATCACCCGCCCAGAGAAGGCTTTGCTTCATCTCGGGCTCCAAACTGATGCAGCCAGGTCACAGGGCACATGAGGCAGGGGATCTCTGAACTGGGCTCACAGAATGGAGTTGGAAAGTGTCAAGGAGTGAGTGTGGGAGTTGGAGTTGAACCACAAGGGTAGAGGGTGGATGCTGATGATAGGAGTTGGTCCAGGCTGCAGCCACCTCTGTGGTTGCTGTGAGGTTCCTCCATGCCCATGGGGGCTACTGCTGTCCCCCAGCCAAAGCCCACGAAGGGGAAGATGCGCATTCACTGCCTGGAGAACGTGGACAAGGCGCTGCAGTTCCTCAAAGAGCAGCGTGTGCACCTGGAGAACATGGGCTCCCATGACATCGTGGACGGCAACCACCGCCTGGTCCTGGGCCTCATCTGGACCATCATCCTTCGCTTCCAGGTGGGTTCCCAAAGGGCAGAGGGACGGGGGAGCCTCTCTAGGCCGGTCAGGGCTTGAGACACTTAGAAAATGGTGCATAAAGTGTGTTTATGCACATTCTGGGAGACTAGTAACCTGTTCCATGGGGAAAATGCTGGTAGGAAGGAGTGAGCACCCTCTGCATCAGCAGACTGCTGGAGCTCAGGGCCAGCCGTCCTGTCAGTAGCGTGGTCTTTTAAGGGAGAAGATAGAATTTAGTACCTGGGCTGAGTGAGATCTGGCTAGATCTGCTTTTTGGCACACACACCGCCCCCCCGCCCCCGCCCCACAATATGTGTAACGTTTTGGTTTTTTGACATAGTTTGATTCAGAAATTGCAAAAACAGCATAGAAGATCTGCTTTTATATGTTTCAATGAGAAACTTCTCTCTTCCCACCCTGAAATTCAAGGTTCATTATTTGTAAGGAAATTTAGAAAGCCTGAGGGAAGGAAGCAGGGCCTTGCACCTGCTGGTCTGGGGACAGGAAGAACTTAGCAGAGGGAAGGACAGGGAAACGGAGGACATAGCACTTGGCTCGTGGACTGAAGTTCTCATTCGAGAGATCTGGGGTGTCCCATCTCACTCTGCGTGAGTGTGTACGATTAAACAGTAATGATGACAGGGCTGGGGAGAATGAAAAGGCAAGACGAAACCCCTAATTGAAATACAGTACCTTCCAACCCTTGTGCTGTTTTCCGGGCTTGCAGTGCCTGTTCCTCCCGCAGAGGAACCAAGACTCTTGTCATTTATTCTCAGCGTCCCAGCAGAGTTAGGAGGTCAGAGCCATCTCGCCGCCATCCCTGTGTGTTGCCGCTGACTAACAGGAAGCAGGCCGCTGGGACCTGGGGCCTCAGGCAGTGGGGTTGCCGCAGGGCTGGCGGGGCAGATGGATGGCTACGGAGGAGGAAGGAGGAAAGGAGCCCCCCAGGGAGAGCAGGAAGGCACTGAGCCAGATGCAAATCTAATCCCTCTCCCTCTCATTTCTGCGCCCTCAGATTCAGGACATTGTTGTCCAAACTCAGGAAGGTCGTGAGACTCGCTCAGCCAAGGATGCGTTGCTGTTATGGTGTCAGATGAAGACGGCAGGGTATGTATGCTCTGGGAACCACGTGTTCCCGCCCACCTGCTCTCATGAGCACTGCCATCTCCAAGGGACACGACATCATCATTCAGAATTACAGTAGCTTGGGGATAAGTGATGGAAAGTCTATCCCGACCTGATTCTCTGAGGCCTGGAGCACAGGATTCCTTTCCAGAGCTGCCTGGGTCAGACTGTGGGATCTGTTGGGTATATGAGTCCTTTGGGCCCACATTACGGGGGAGCCCTCATGTTGAAGCGGCTTGAGGAGAAGCAGGTCCATTTCTCTCCTGGTTTATGGGCGCCTCAGTTCATATACTTGGCTGGGACCCGAAAAGAATCTATTTCTTAGGTCTTAATGTTTCTCTTGGATGCAGCTACCCCAACGTCAATGTCACCAACTTCACCTCCAGCTGGAAGGATGGCCTGGCCTTTAATGCCCTCATACACAAGCACCGGTAAGAGGGAGAAGAGGGCTGTGGGGAGGAGGCAGAACTGTCGCAGGTATTTGCACACACTGCGCTCAGCATGGAGGTTACTACTCAAGCTTCACAGAAGCGTCACCTCTGCTTGTCCTCCTCTCACCCTCAGCAGCCCTGCCTCCCTTAAATTCCCACCGCTGCCTTCCCCACATGCGGGTGCTCCCAGCCGCCCCCACCCCTCTCCTCCCAAATCCTCCTTTCACTTTTCCTGCCCGCCCACCTCCCTCCATCTGCCCAGAGTCTTTGGGTCGCGTCCCTGCATTTGCCCAGGGTCTTTGCATCCTACCGGGCTGCCCTGCCGGCGGGGATGCGGCAGCCACCGCTCCCTTCTGACAATCTGGCTCCGTCCTCAGGCCTGACCTGATTGACTTTGATAAGCTGAAAGACTCCAACGCCCGACACAACCTGGAGCACGCGTTCGATGTGGCCGAGCGTCAGCTGGGCATCATTCCGCTCCTCGACCCCGAAGGTGAGCCGCTCCCTCTCCAGCCTTAACCGTAGCGGTAGGAGATGATGCTTGTTGTGCTGGAGGGAGCACCGGAGTGACAGGGCACCCGGAGGAGTCTAGGCCAGGTACTGGGCGAGCCGTGGGCACAGCAAGGGGATGGTGGCCCAGGCCAGGGCTAAGCACGGGGCCTGCTCTTCAGCTCCACTTAGTTCCTGACACCTTATCTGGCCTGATCGGGGGCCCAGTGTAGCCTTTGGACTTGGTGCTGGAAAAACATGGAGATTAAAAAAAACCTTGAGTCAGACATTTTCAGCGTCCAGTTCAATCCTGAGAGCAACCTTTCCCCTTGCAGATGTCTTCACAGAAAACCCTGATGAGAAATCCATCATTACCTACGTGGTGGCATTTTACCACTACTTCTCCAAGATGAAGGTGCTGGCGGTGGAGGGCAAGCGCGTCGGCAAGGTACCGAGCCGTCATCTCCTAACCGCTGTCACCTCATTTACCTGTTGGCCACACCCAGGCCTTGACCGAGATGCTGCACTTCCATCACAGGAGCTTTGTACTGGGCTCCAGTTTCAGTGCGTTGGGGGGCAGATCACCGCCCCCAGCTTCCTCTGAAGCCAAGTTAATGACTTCCCACGCTGAATTCCAAAGCAGGTTGATGGCCTGTCCTGAAAGATGTCGTCGCCTGCAGCTCTGAGCCCATCTTTCACCTGCAGAACCACATCTCGTGGATATTTCCACAGGAGCAAGATGGGCTTTTATTTGCTGGTTTATTGTGGTTGCGGGCCTCTCAGGCTACCCTGGAATACCAGGGAGCCACCCCACTGTCAGATTCCTTTCCTTGCTGGCTCCTTAGCTGCACGAGTGTGGGCACCATTTCCCATTCATCTTCGTGTGCCTGGTGTTTACAAAAGACAGTGCCTGGAAGTCCTCGATTCCTAATATGCATTGAAAAATGAACAAGATCGTGGCCCCTCTAGTGGCTGGTACCCTGGCACAGGGAGCCGGCCAATCTTGTGTAGGGTTAGGGGAAGAGGAGGCAGCTCCTGAACCTGAGCAGGGCCAGCTGCTTACTGAGGCTGCCATTCCTTCTGCCTTAGCCACAGCCTTGGGCTCAGGGAACAGACCCAACACAGCCTGAGTGGAGGAAGACCACCTCGAGTGTGGTCCTCATCCATGGCATCATTGCTCTTCCAATGCAGATGAGTAATAAGGTGATTCCCTAGGTAATCGACCATGCCATTGAGACAGAGAAGATGATTGAGAAGTACAGCGGGCTGGCCTCGGACCTGCTCACCTGGATCGAGCAAACCATCACAGTTCTGAACAGCCGCAAGTTTGCCAACTCCCTGACGGGAGTCCAGCAGCAGCTACAGGCCTTTAGCACTTACCGAACCGTGGAGAAGCCGCCCAAGTAAGGCCCTGGCCCGTGGGAGGGAAGATGGACATTAGTGACTAAGAAACCAGCTGCCTAAAGGTAGAGCCAGACTCTGGGCTTTGAGGAGTGTACACAGGAGGCATATTCTAGAGGCTAGAGAACTTCGCACCTGTCCCCTACTTCATCCCCTCCTGGCCTTCCTGATCCCAAGCCATCAGCCTATATGAAATGGACATTGAGGAGTCACCCCTGACTCGTAGCCAAAGAAAGTACTTTCCCAGATCCCGGAGTGGGGGCAGCAGTGAGATCTCAGGCCTCTGGGTCTCATCCAAGAATGTGTGCTGGGACGCTCCTTTCTCACCTATGTACTGAGCTTTGGGATTATTTTCTGATAACGACCTCTGTATTTTAAGCTCTAAAACTCTCTGTATGGGACCTTGCTGATCATCAAGTAAATCCTTTTTGTCTCCTGTCTGTCACTGCTCATCAGAAGAGCCCTGGGCCTGCTTCTCGGGACTTCTGTTTCACCCCGGTGTGTGCAGGGCCTGGGTACACACACGCACACATAGGCACAGGCACACACAACCATGCAGGCATCTGTGCATATTACATACACATGAAACAGACACACTCAGACACAAGGGGCATTCCAGCTCACCTGCTGTCAGCTTGCCCAGCTCTCCTGAAACAGATTTCTAGCTCATGAGTGGTACCCTCTGCCTTGTTCCTCCTCCTCTCATCGTCCACACTCTCCATTCATGACTCTCACACAGAGAAAGGTGAGACACGGAGCCTAGAATGTACTATAAACAAGTATCTGATTTCTGATCTGACACTAACCTGCTCTGAAAGTCCTGAATTCAATACAGAGAACATCCCCTGTGAGCCTACCGGGCTCTGCGCACTGGGGTGATATCTCTTGGCTATGTACACCGTGCCGAGCGCCACAGCCCTCCTGAAGTGCCCGCGGGCAGTCAGATCTACTAGGCTGGTCTAATAGCTTACGATGATCCTCCACTGCCAGGTGGAGGATGGAGAAGTGGACAGATCCTTGCATACATGCAGAAATGAGAAAGTACTGAGATACCTGGAGATGGGACCCCAAGTTTCAGGCATCATCCTGCTGCCAATTCTCATCTCCTACACCTAAAATCCTCCCTGAACCCAGCCTTCCCTCCCTTCTTCGGAAGCATCTGGCTTTTGGGACTTGTCAGGAGAGCCAGCCCATTAGGGCTCATTAGGACTCAGGTGAAAGTTGCTTTCAATGCAATATATTCTTACGTGGACAATACTGTTTCTAAGGACTTACTGACTCACTCAATAAACCGACTGAAGAGCTGGTCAGAAGCTGAACTCATTTGATGAACAGAGGAGAGTTTCTTTGTATTAATTGGTAAAACTTGATAGCTGTAGGAATTCCCAGGCCATTCCAGTTAGCCATTCCCCTAGGGGAACAAATGATAAGCAATTTCTGTGGTAGATGTGTTTTCTCTGGTTTATGTTATAAAGGCTCAGCCCCCATTAGATCTCAAGTGGTGAGTATGACAGATGTTTTAAAAGGTAAGTAGACCTATAGATCCTCTTTAGTTTTTGTTTTTAAAGGAAATATGCTTTGCTAGCCAAGCTCCAAGTTACCAGGGTTCCACATTGACTTCTAACAATTTGGCTGTGGGGAGCTCTACACTAATCTCCCTACCTCTGTTTTTTCAACAGGTTTCAGGAGAAGGGGAATCTGGAAGTCTTACTTTTTACCATCCAGTCCCGAATGAGAGCCAACAATCAGAAAGTGTACACACCCCATGACGGGAAACTAGTGTCTGACATCAATCGGGTACAGTAGTGTTTTCCATTGCATGTTGCCAATGAGTTGAGTTCTTGATAAGGGCACAGTGTGTGGTCCCTGGACAGGGTAAAACCAAGCCACTTTCTGGGGTGTTATTAACTATACACACTGGCTATTTTGGGGTGCTATCTGAACCTAATTCTAAAATATCAACTCCACCTATGATCCCTCAATTCAGCCCCCTGTTTGATGCCCAGAATCCATTTTTGGAGCCAATTGATGACCTAATCACTATTGAACATTGAATTTCTTTAAGTATGGGATATTAACTACTTATAACAGAAGGGAAACACCTTCTAATATTTCAGAGGTTTAGAGGCTTAATAACGCCAGGAAATTCAAATAGAACAGAGGTAGCCATTTAGCCATTTACAGTGCACCCACAGAGACAACGTTATATTAGTCCAAGAGTCTGAGGCAGATTTAGAGGAAGATGGAACATTTCATAAGCAGGGCACCCAGAGTCTTTGGCTGGCCCAGACATGAGAGCCAAAGTCTCTGCCTACAGTCCTGAAATCAGTGTTGGGTAAAAGAGGTGGAACCCCCAAACCCAGGTGTTCCTCTTGTGCCCCAAGAATTCTCCTCTGTCCCTCGGGCAGGCCTGGGAGAGCCTGGAGGAAGCCGAATATCGGCGGGAGCTGGCTCTGAGAAATGAGCTCATTCGTCAGGAGAAGCTGGAGCAACTGGCCCGGCGCTTTGACCGAAAGGCTGCAATGAGAGAGACATGGCTCAGTGAAAACCAGCGCCTTGTGGCCCAGGTAATGGGTGGCACAGATGGGGATGGCAGGGGAGGGGCCACTGTCCAGAGCCCCAGTAGTCAGCTAGGCTGGAGCCCTAACTGGCCTCTCAGTGGCTGCGGATAAGCCTCTCCCCAGGCCTTACCTCCCTGCTCCTCAGGATTGGGTAGGTCAAGATTCACATCTGAAGAAAAACTCTTCAGAATTTAAAGTCTAATTTTTAGGAACAGAGCCTCACAATCCAAAACTGGCCCCTGGAGCTGTCATAACTAAAGCCAGGGTTCGAGGTGACATTGAACAGTTGTCCTCTGGGGACAGGATGAAAAGAGTGCACCTTGTGTGTGTCAGACGTGCCTTTTGGGCTCCGGCCTCTAGGACCGAGTCATGTTTCACTAGCTAAAAATTGACCCCAGCGCTGATTGTCCAGGACAGCATCTGTTTCTTCCCACTTGGAACTTAGAAACAAATTACATTCCGTCCACAAAGGGGAAAGCCAGCGTTCTGAGAGAACTGGAGACTGTGTGCCCACCCTAAGCCATCTGTTTAGAGCTGCCCGGTTCTGAGTCAGAAGCCCCTTTCTGCCCAGAATCAGGCAGGTCCATTCATGGCAGGTGGTGAGGCCAAGAGGGCCTCTGTTAATATATGCACAGCGCACCCACACATAGGGCACAGTAAGTGAAATCGTGAGCTTCTTTTAAAGGTTCTTGTGAGACATTTAGTCTTTGGAACTTGGCTCTGATAAGATAGGCTGAAAAAGATGGCAGAACGAAGTCCTTGGGGATGGTCTTCCCCATCCAGCAGTTGTTCCCAGGGGACCTGCTGTTTCTCTGCATTTGGGGACTCGCCAAGAGGAGCCTGGCTGAGCGGCCCATTTTTCTCTCTGTGGGGCAGGATAACTTCGGGTACGACCTGGCAGCTGTGGAGGCCGCCAAGAAGAAGCACGAGGCCATCGAGACCGACACAGCCGCCTATGAAGAGCGGGTGAGGGCCCTGGAAGACCTGGCCCAGGAGCTGGAGAAGGAGAATTACCACGACCAGAAGCGCATCACGGCCCGCAAGGACAACATCCTGCGCCTGTGGAACTACCTGCAGGAGCTGCTGAGGGCCCGGCGCCAGAGACTCGAGACGACCCTGGCACTGCAGAAGCTCTTCCAGGATATGTTGCACAGCATCGACTGGATGGACGAGATCAAGGTGGGCCCCCGTGCTGCCCTTCCCCCACACCTCCAGCACCCACCGCGGGCCTCAGTGCCCGCCCTGCAGTCAGTGTACGCTTCCTTAGATGCCTCCCAGCAAGTCACAGCCCTGAATCAGAATAGAGAAACTGAGGCAGCACAGTGCCTGGCTGCATCTGCCTGTCAACTGCTTGGCTCTCTCTGCTCCCCACAAGTCACCAGCCCAGGTCCACTCTATCCCTATGATCAGGAAACCTGGGGTTCATAGTAGCACAGGCACCAACCTGCTGGGCCTGAGAGACAGACATTAATCAGGAGCCTAGAGAATCAGGCTCTGAGTAGTTACGATTTGACTGGTTAGCATTCAGACCGGCCAGCAGAGGGGCAACCAGGATATTGGAATCTCCTCTCCCTCCACCACAGCGCTCTCAGCTCAGGGTACACATCAGAGTGACCATGGATCTTTTTAAAAATACACATACCCAGGCCCCAAACCCAGGGCAGACTCAGGAGATTGAGTGAGGGGTTCGAGCTTGTATAAGGCGACCCAAGAAGGACTCCGATGGGCACCCCTAGTAGGGCCTCCTGCTCCACAGCCCCTTCCACGCTGGGCAGCAGCCGTTTCCCAGCTTCACCGACTCCCCAGCCCAGACACCATGGATGCCCCCTTTGCGGAGGGGTCTCTTCTAGCATGTAGTTCTCTTTACCTCTCCTCCTTCCCTCCACCCTGTCTGCCCTCTTTGCCAGGCTCACCTCTTGTCTGCCGAGTTCGGGAAGCACTTGTTGGAGGTCGAGGACTTGCTGCAGAAGCACAAATTGATGGAGGCTGACATCGCCATCCAGGGAGACAAAGTGAAGGCCATCACTGCAGCCACCCTGAAGTTCACTGAGGAGAAAGGTGAGAATTCGGAGGTCTCCCTGGTGAGGTCCCAGAAGCCAGGGCCCCATCCTCTGGCTCGGCACCCCAGCTTGGATAAATCCCTGAGCTTTAGAATTCAGCTTCTTTTGTTAACTAACGGTGCAAGGAAGAAGCTTGAGGGATAGCAAAACTCTCCAGAGACCAGGCAACTGCTTTGGAGATCTATGATCAGAAGGTGTTTATAAGCACCCGCGAGGCTTCATCCCATCTTTCACCTCTCTGCCAGTTCAAGTTACAGCAGAGACAATTTAGGTTTATAGTCTCGGGTCTTAAATAGGAGACCCTATATTGTGACCTTGAAGAATCATCTTGAAATTTGTGTCTCAGCTTTTTAAAAAATAATTTACATATAATTTTCTACTAAGAGTTGATTCAAATTTTAACCTCCCTTACCATTGACACTTTACTGGGAACTAATTGTTAGGAACCTAGCCTGCCCTCTGAGCACCCGCATCCAGTCCCAAAGATCCAGGTTCTAGGTCATGTTATTCTTGCCCGGCAACTGATCTGAAGCTTGCCTGTAAATGAAGCCCTTCCCCGTTTCATCTTGCCTCCTCCCATTCCCCCCAGGGTACCAGCCTTGCGATCCCCAGGTCATCCAGGACCGCGTCAGCCACCTGGAGCAGTGCTTTGAGGAGCTGAGCAACATGGCAGCTGGGCGGAAGGCCCAGCTGGAGCAGTCCAAACGGCTCTGGAAGTTCTTCTGGGAGATGGATGAGGCCGAGAGCTGGATCAAGGAGAAAGAGCAGATCTACTCCTCCCTGGACTATGGCAAGGACCTGACCAGTGTGCTCATCTTGCAGCGCAAGCACAAAGCCTTTGAGGATGAGCTCCGCGGGCTGGATGCCCACCTGGACCAGATCTTCCAGGAGGCCGAGGGCATGGTCGCACGCAAGCAGTTTGGGCACCCGCAGATCGAGGCCCGAATCAAGGAGGTGTCCACCCAGTGGGACCAGCTGAAGGAGCTGGCTGCCTTTCGCAAGAAGAACCTCCAGGATGCTGAGAACTTCTTCCAGTTCCAAGGCGATGCAGACGACCTCAAGGCCTGGCTGCAAGACGCTCACAAGTTGCTCTCGGGCGAAGATGTGGGGCAGGATGAAGGGGCCACACGGGCCCTGGGGAAGAAGCACAAGGACTTCCTGGAGGAGCTGGAGGAGAGCCGTGCAGTGATGGAGCATCTGGAACAGCAGGCTCAGGGCTTCCCCCAAGAGTTTCGGGATTCCCCAGATGTAACCAATCGGCTGCAGACCCTCCGGGAGCTCTACCAGCAAGTGGTGGCTCAGGCAGACCTGCGTCGGCAGAAGCTGCAGGAGGCCCTGGACCTGTACACGGTGTTTGGGGAGACCGATGCCTGTGAGCTGTGGATGAGCGAGAAGGAGAAGTGGCTGGCCCAGATGGAAATCCCAGACACACTGGAGGACCTGGAGGTCGTGCAGCACAGGTCAGGGCTGGCCCTTCTCTTCTTGTCTCCCCGCACCAAGGCATGCCCTGCCCCTCTGCCTGGTGTGGGAGCAGTCCCTAAGCCACAGAATCCAGAAGAGCCACAGAGATCGGTTGGTAAACCACTGGTCCTCAAGGCCACTCTCACCTCCACTCTTCCGATTCCATCGGCACTTCAGCATGGGAGGCCTGCCCGTGCGCGTTGTAGAATTCCAAGTACAGAGTCCAAAGAGTTAAAGAGGAGAAGAGGTTACTCGCTGGAACACACTGAGGTGGTCCAGCCCTGATGCTGAAGGGACCTGGGCTATTATCCCAGAAGAGTCAGCTTTCATAACCACATGGCGCCCCTCCCCACAGCAGCTGTCCCTTCTCCTACCCAGGGACAGAACATCTGGCTAGGGAGTATCCTTCAGGTCAAGGTGTCAAGGCAGTGGATTTGAGGTCCAAGAGCCACAACTGGGGCAGTGGAGGCAGGTGGTCTCTGTGGTGATTAACCTCCCATCGCCTCGGATTTCCCCTGTGCCTCTCTGTTGAGCCGGTGGCCAGTGTAGTAAGGAACCAGCTCGCCCCTAGCCTGGGCCATGCTGAACCAAGAAATTGGACCCATGAACCAGCAAATAGAGTGTATCAGCATATCTTTCTCCTTTCTCCCCTCTGCCCCATACCTGCTCAAAGGTAAGTAGGAGGTGGAAGGAGAATGCAAGAGCTACATGTTCTGGAGACTGGGCGGCCACTGACAATGAAGTGCCTGCTGCCACCTCACCAGTCCTCATTTCCTCTGCCCTTATCAGGTTTGACATCCTGGACCAGGAGATGAAAACTTTGGTGACTCAGATTGATGGCGTGAACCTTGCTGCCAACAGCCTGATAGAGAGTGGCCACCCGCGCAGTGGGGAAGTGAAGCAGTACCAGGACCACCTGAACACCAGGTGCGGTGTGGGTTGGGCTGGGAACGGGGGCGGGGCGGGGTGGGGGAGGTGGGGTTGGAGCGTTGGAGCATCACACTGCACCTGACACACCCCTGGGGGTGTGGCCCAAAAGCCAGGACACCTGCTCTGCACTGCCAGGTTTGTACCCTCAGTACTCCTGTCTTTCTCAGTTGGTCTCCTTCTGTAGCAGCAAGGAGGGACCTATTTGGTGATTGGCCGGTAGGGAGAGAGAGATGTGTTCACACAGCTACAAATACTGTGTCTGGGGGTAGGGGTGGTCCTGTGTGATGCAGGAAGACGTTCTGACTGTGCCATAGTTAGAATTAGGCCAGATGGTACTCATGCCACATTTACCCAGACCTTTCTTAGGCAGGAAAAATGGCTCTCTGAGAGCTCTTAAGTAATATCCATAGAAGAAAGCTCCTGCTTGTGTTAAATGCATCATCGACCTTGCGGCTAGCTGGAACGAAGAGAAAAATTAGCAGAAAGCCTTGGGCACACTTCGTGGTCAGAATAAAAAACAGGCCCTGAGGAGCCTTTGGAGATGGGGTGCTTTCAGTACAGGGCATAATTACCCATGAGTCCTCAAGGGTCTCGAAGGGCAGAGCACAGGCTCATGTCCCCTGTTTGTCATTCTGGACCCTGCACACAGACAGCCACATGTTCACCCTCTACCCATTGCCCCTGTCCCTTTCCCCACACTTGTTTCTGAGCTTTGTTCTGCCTGAGGCAATCTGGGAAGTGCTGTTAGGGAAAAAAAGTGTCAGCACAGAGAAGGCTGCAGGGAGCTCAGACTGGGGGACACTTTGGAGCCGCTAGAACGAGGCCAATCGTCTCCGCCTCCAAAGATGGAGGCTGTAGCTCAGGAGATTCCTCTGTAATCTGAAGTTTATGCAGAGAAGGATGCTCAGGTTTAATGGGAAACCACCCTACCATTTCAGGCCTCAGGTTCTCTCTCACCTAGAGAGGGCAAGCACCTGATCTATTTCACTTAGAATGGTGCATGGCTTGGGGGTCTGCAAAGATCATCCTCTGACTACAGCTCACTAAGGCAACACATATATAGCTGACAAGTGCTCCCTGTTTTTCTCGCACTCGCGCACGCTTGCACACACATGCAACCCCCCTTACCCCCGAACTCCAGACAGCCGGTGTGCGCCACCAACACCCCCAGGCATGGAAGGCTTCCCCCTTTGCCTTGCAGCTCGTCCCGTTTGGGACAATGCATTTTGGGTTATAAAGTTTGATCTCCTATTGAGTGGAAATCTGCCTCCTTGAAATCTGTAAATTGGTTCTGGCTCTGCCCTTCAGCGAGATCTAAATTTATTCTGATTCTTCTTCCATGGGCTAGCTCTTCAAATATTTTTAAAAATGACTGTCATTCTTCCTCTATACCTACGGTCCTACCAGAATGCATCCTCTGCAAACCACATACTTCAAATCCGGCCCACCCTTTAAGCTGGCCCAGGGTCCTCTCCTTTCCAGTGTCCCAGATGAAACTTGCACTGTTTTCGAGCTTCACATTCTACCTTGTATTATAGCTGATTTTATGCTGAAGAACTTTCCTACCAGATTATTAAGTAAATGAAGAGCAATATCTTTATGTCTTTCCCACAGTGCTTTGCATACCTAGCACATTATTACCTGAGGTTTCCTCTGTTTGGAACAGTCTTTTCTCAGATGTCCACTTGGCTCACTCTCATATGTTATTCAGACCTCAGCTCACATGTCAACTCATTGGAGCCGTCCTCATGGATCACCCTATTAAAAATATCATCTATCTACCTCCCACCCAGTCCTTTTGCCTCTGTCCCATTACCTTGCTTTATTTTTTTCACTGGGCTATAACCATTTGGTAGATTATGGATTTATTTACTTGCATCTGCCCACTTGAATTAGAGCAAATACTTTGCTTCACCCACTTCTGTATCCCCAGAGCCTAGACCAGTGCCTGGCACAAAGCACATAATGGTTGTGTGATAAATGCTTAGTGAATGAGTAACAGGGACAAAACAGAAATAACTTCTGCCAAGCTTGTGAGTCGTTCAAACACTTCCTCATTGAATGTATGACTGCCTTCCACTGCATGCACTCCAGTTGACCAACATCTTTCTAATAACCTTGGGCCCAGGAGCAAACCTGGACTCCAACATCACCTGGGCAGTGCTAACTAGAGCAGCTCTATCAGTGTCCTCCCTACAGAAGGAGATGGTGCAGTAGAGGGGAGCAATGGGTTTGGGAGGCAGACTAGACCCAACCCCAGCCTGTCCCATGTGTGGCCTCTACTTGGTGGCTGTAGTAAGGCCACACTAGGAGAGGCCTAGAAAATCCTAGTGTGGGGCCTCTTGCCTGGGAGCATAGTCAGACCCTCAGCTGTGGCTTCCGGGCAGGGCCTGAGGATCTCATGGCCCTGGAACACATCATTATCATTGCACAGTGGTTTCAGACCAACCCTAAGAAAATCTTCGGCCCCTTCCCCTGACCTCCCAGCCTCAGCACCATCTGTGTGCCAGACACAGAATTCCCCAGAGCTTAGGGACCTCATGGTCTAAGATGGGCTCCGAGAAGTCCTTGGACTCTCAGTCTTCTCTCTCCAGGCGTTTCCAACAAGACTGTCTTTCAGTCTAGACTAGCAGCTGTTGTCATACCTTGGGACGCCGGCAATGCACTTTACCCAGTCCATCTGCGTAACCCTGCAGTCGCCACCCCCCAGGTGCTGGAGGTACACAGATGAGTGACACACTCAGGGCCTCCTCCTTAAACAGATCTGTTCATTGAGAAATAGCTCAGAAGACCACCATAAACCTGTCGCTGTCACCCCTGTCCCTCCTCCCAGCCCCCTTGTCCTCTCTGCCTAATATGTGCTATGTACATAGTACTTTATACCGTAGTTATTCTGTAAGCTCATCTTACTTTCTAAGTCATACACTCCATAAGGCAAAGTCTGGCTATCTCTGTATTATCCCAAAGGCTCACATAATGCTTTTACAGGAAGACTTCACTTAATGCCATTGATAGGTTCTGTGACTTTCAACAAAATGACTTATAACACAACCAATTTTAACAGTGTCTAATTGACATAAACAAGTCCCTATGGCATCTCATCTGTGTTACAACAAAATGACACTGAATAAAATGGCATTATTTGAGGGCCTACTATATCTTGTGGGTATTCAAGAAAAATGGGTTCAATTAGCAAATGAGCATCTAGCATATTCTATGGACTGAGCTATGACAGTGATACAGAATGAGTAAACCCAGGTCCAAGAGAGGTGTCCCTAGTGGTCTGGACCCAGGCTGATGGGCAGCCCTCTAAGAAAGACTTAATAGGGGCTGCAGACCCACCCCAGGTCACCAGGGTATCTACCAGACCTTTGCATATTTCCCAGTATCACTCCAGCAGTGCACTTGAAGGTTAAGGTTATGTTGTCCATTTCAACTACAATCCCACTTTATCCCCCTCTCCTCCTCCTCACCTCTTCCTCCCCAGGCCTCTCTTCTTTTTGGGCCAAGGTGACTGTGCCAGACCCTGGGCACTTTGAACATGGTCTTAGGCATTTTCATGGCTCCTCTCGGGCAGCTGGGACCCTCTGTCCTGAAACATTCTTGAAGCTGATAATAGGAGCTAATTATTTTCAGTATTTCAGAGGATCTGGGGAAATTGTTTGTTAGCCTGAAATCCAACTACATAGAGAGCCCAGCTCAGTGTCATGTTCCTTCACTAATGCTTGGGATCATGTCACTGCTTGCCTCTTGCTGATGGAAAGATGTGATTGGCAGTTATGTTGTCTTGGGTAAAAATGGATAAATGAACCTTATTCACTGCAGTTTGTTGGATAGGTGATTATTTCACTGTGCAAGGTCACTGGGGAGAGACTCTGGTGGGAAATCTGGGAAGGGATGCCCTGTGAGAAGAGTTACAGAGGAGGACATGTCTGCGTCGCGTCCCGTCCCCCACCCCCGCTCTGTTCCCCCGGCAGGTGGCAGGCATTCCAAACCATGGTGTCAGACCGGCGGGAGGCAGTGGACTCGGCCCTCCGGGTGCACAACTACTGCGTGGACTGCGAGGAGACCAGCAAGTGGATCATGGACAAGACGAAAGTAGTACAGTCCATCAAGGACCTGGGCCGGGACCTGGCAGGCGTCATCTCCATCCAGCGGAAGTTGTCGGGGCTGGAGCGTGATGTGGCTGCCATCCAGGCCCGCATGGGTGCCCTGGAGCGTGAGTCACAACGGCTGATGGAGTCACACCCTGAACTGAAGGAGGACATTGGCCGGCGGCAGGCGTTTGTGGAGGAGCGATGGCAGGAGCTGCAGCAAGCCCTGCAGGACCAGGAGGCCTCGCTTGGTGAAGCCAGCCAGCTGCAGGCTTTCCTGCAGGAGCTGGATAACTTTCAGGCCTGGCTGTCCTTAGCCCAGAAGGCCGTGGCCTCCAAGGACATGCCCGAGTCCCTCCCAGAGGCCGAGCAGCTCCTGCAGCAGCATGCGGCCATCAAAGATGAGATTGATGGGCACCAAGAGAGCTATGAGCATGTCAAGACATCTGGAGAGAAAGTGCTCCGTGACCAGACGGACCCAGAGTTCCTGCTCCTGGGCCAGCGGCTGGAGGGCCTGGGTACTGGCTGGGACGCCCTGCGCCGGATGTGGGAGAGCCGCAGCCGCTCCCTCACCCAGTGCCTTGGCTTCCAGGAGTTCCAGAAAGATGCCAAGCAGGCTGAAGCCATCCTCACTAACCAGGTAGGAAGACACATTCAGGGCAGGAGGGTCTCTCAGAGCAATAGCACTGGCGAGTCTACGAATATGCTACAGGGCTCAGGGACCAAATGATGCTTTTCTTGGACTCTTTAGGCACTAATTGGGGGACAATCCTCTTTGTTTCTTAAGTGCCTTTTTCAGCCCTGTGTTCCAGACTGCCTATTCTGGGTCACTTAGAAGCTGGAGAAGTGAATTTTCTCTGGGTGGTTGCCCTTCCATATGGCTTTAGGCCCGCAGTTCATGGGGTGCCCCTGGTGGGCATGGGGGTCGGGGGAGGCCTGGGGGAGCCTCTTCCATGCACAGCTCCAGGGGGTACCATTCACACTATGATCTGTATGGCTGGACATGGCGCTCCAAGCCACGCACGTTCCCTCACCACCTCCTCAGGTTGGCTCCATGCCTCATCTGGAAACTTCCTTCAACAGGAATATACACTGGCTCACTTAGAGCTCCCAGACTCCCTAGAAGCTGCAGAAGCTGGGATCCGGAAGTTTGAGGACTTTCTGGTGTCTATGGAGAACAACGAGGATAAGGTCTTGAGTCCTGTGGACTCTGGAAACAAGCTGATAGCTGAGGGGAACCTCTACTCAGACAAGATCCAGGAGAAGGTGCAGCTGATTCAGGACAGGTACTCCCCACCCCCAGGGTGACGGGCTGGAATCAGGTGGGGCTGGCGGTGTTGCATGGGGACCCCAGACTCAGCACTGTTGTGACTGCAGCTTTCTGGCTTCCCTTCCAGGCACAGAAAGAACAACGAGAAGGCCCAGGAGGCCTCAGCTCTTCTGAGAGACAACCTGGAGCTCCAGAACTTCCTCCAGAACTGCCAGGAGGTGAGGCTCGAGCAAGGCAGGCCACTTCACAGGACATTCCTTTCTAGGAGCAAAGTGTCCCAGAGGTGGGACGTCCACAAGGATCCTTTCTAACTCAGGAGTGTAGGACTCATTAGGGGGTCTCCGGGTACTTGAATCCCCTAGAATCTTTGATTCCGCAAGACTTCTTTTTACAAGTCTGTAAAGATGTTTTTTAATTTGTCAAGTGTAGGACATCTCAAAGGAACATCTATATTAGCATCACCTACAGGCCTGATCAGAGCCCCAGCTTCAAGGGCGGCAACCTGTGCGTTCACACAGAGCCCCGTGCTTAGAAGGGCTCCACACTTGGTTTCATGCTCTGCTGTTGCCATCTTGAAATTCTTAATGATTTTGAACATTCCCATTCTGCACTGGGCCCTGCAATCCCAGAACCAGCCTGGCCCTAGTCAAAAGCAGAGTCCTGGGCCCCACTCAGGCCCAATGAGTCAGATCCTCAATGGTTGAGAGAGAGAGAGAGAGAGCGGCATTTCCAACAAGCCTCCTAGTTGGAGAACTACCAATCCGAAGGCCCTGGCTCAGCCTGGGACACGCTGTGCAGGCAGGCCTTTCACTGCACTCCTGGGTCCCCCCATTAGCAGCGTCTCCATGTGGAATGGGGCTTTCCCTGACTTCTTTCATGCTTTCGTTCCTCATACCCCTTTTCTCTCAGCCCCAACGACTTTGTTTTTATCTACCTCTGCCCTTGGCACAGACTGGGTCAGGTATGGTGCCAAGACATCTTGGAAATATTGGCTGCGTCTCGCAGTTCTTCCCCCATTGTTAATTACAGGATCTGGCCTTGGCTTCTTCCTCCAAAAGCATTTTCTCTGTGTTTATTAATGATTTCTCAGCCTACCGCTACAGGGTGGGCTTATCCATCCAGTAAACATTTGTTGAGTTCCTGCAACAGCCCAGGCCCTGTCCTAGGTCCTGGAAATATGAAGAGAAGCATAAATATCCCTGGTGTCACATGGCACATCCTGGTGTGGAAGACCCACCGGTGTCCATATTTTGGCCCTGTGACGATGTGGGTTATGTGGCCCGTGCTGGGAGTGAGGTATCCGCAGTCAGAGAATGGTGCTCTACTGTGCTCACACTTCTGCCTGGCTGCCTTCCATGGCCAGAGGTGGCCCAAGGTGGGCGGCAGGCCCTGCCCTGAGCCCATGGTCAAAGAGGTACATTCGGGAATGATCGTCCCCTCTTTTTCTGCCCATAGCTCACTCTCTGGATCAATGACAAGCTGCTGACATCTCAGGATGTCTCCTATGATGAAGCACGCAACCTTCACAACAAATGGCTGAAGCACCAGGCATTCATGGCAGAGCTGGCCTCCCACCAGGGGTGGCTGGAGAGCATCGACGCAGTAAGTAACACGAGTGCTCGGATGTGCTTACCTGAATGGGGCCTCACCCAGGCGTGGACACCGTCCAGAAGCGGACTGGACAGCGCAGAACTTGGAAGTGAAGGAACTTCCCTCAGCAGTGCTTACACCTTCAGATATATGCAGTCTTGTTAAGCCTGGTCAGAATGGGTGCCCCTTCTGGGTCACCTGAGTCTGGGGACAGTCCAGGACACTAAAGACACTCAAGTCAGAGCTTTAGCATCCATTGCCAGAAGAGCAGTTATCTGTGTTTGCCTTCTGGAGGTCCCCAGCACCAGGGGACATGTGACATGAACAGAGCAGTCCATTGTCTGATGGGCAGAACCGCTGGGCAGGGGCCATTCACACCCCTTGCAGATGCGGAGAGACAATGTAATGAGTTTGCCAAGGGACCCAAGTAAATATGTGGCTGGAGTTAGATCTTGGAATCAGGTACTTTGGCTCTTTCCTACAGTGGCGGCAAGGGAGAAGCAGGCCTAGGGGCCACACAAGGCCATGTCCACAGTAGCTGAAGGTGCAGGCTCCAAGCCAGACTGTCCTACTCTACTTCCCTGCACCTCAGTTTCTTCATCTGTAAAATGGGGGTAATAACAGCTCCCTACCTGAGGGAGTTGTGAGCATTAAGCACTTAGAATGGTCCTGGGCGGTTATTAAACACTTAATCAACATTGACTGTCATGAGTAGTATATATCCCTAGGCCCAAGTCCTATTATACTGTACTCACTCCAAAAAGATACATCTGTATAGATGAAAACCTGCAAAGACAAGGGCAATAACTAAAGATCCCACCAAAGGTTAGTTAGTGCACAGCCCCTAGGGATCAAATCAAGAGAGGGTGGAACTCACGGGGAGGTTTCCAGGCTGCTTGTGCCTGGATGGATCCTGAATCTTTTTTTCCTTTAATAAAAAAAAATTTTAGCCCTGGCTAGTGTGGCTCGGTGTACTGAGGGCCGGACTGCGAACCAAAGGATTGCCGTTTTGATTCCCAGTCTAGGGCACATGCCTGGGTTGTAGGCCAGCTCCCCAGTAGGCAACCACGCATTGATGTTTTCCTCTTTTCCTCTTTCCTTTCCCCTCTCTAAAAATAAATAAATAAAATCTCTAAAAAACAAAACAAAACAATTTTAGTACCAGCTGACCTTTGCAGCTCCCCATACTGCAATTTCTTGAATCATTTGCCCCACACACAGCTCCCGCTTTCCCACCTTCTGCAAATAACTCAGGGCTACACAGTCTTTCAAGTGGGCCTCACCAAGTTCTCAACAGGTTCCTGGCTTCCCTGGCCCCCCACCCCGGTCAGCCCTTTGCAGCCACCTGGAGCAGGGCTGTGCCGGGGCTGGCTGGTGAGCACGCCTCTTTCCCACACAGGAAGGCAAGCTGCTGATGGAAGAGAAGCCCCAGTTTGCAGCCCTGGTGTCCCAGAGGCTGGAAGCCTTGCACCAACTCTGGGATGAGCTTCAGGCCACCACGAAGGAGAAGGCCCAACAGCTCTCAGCCGCCAGGAGCTCTGACCTGCGCTCGAAGACCCAAGCCGACCTCAACAAGTGGATCAGCGCCATGGAGGACCAGCTGCAGTCCGACGACCCGGGCAAGGACCTGACCACTGTCAACCGGATGTTGGCTAAGCTGAAGGCACGTGAGCGGGTTGTAGACTGGGAGTGTTGGAATAGAAGGGATCTCGGGGAGCAAATCTGAGACCTGAAAGCGAGTTCCTCTCAGCCAGGCTTGCCTTTACCATGCAAAAACGTCTCCTTTGCAGTGGGTAAGACAGGGATCCAAACAGCTTAATAAAAGCACTTCTGAGAAGGAAAGTCCAGGTGCTCCGGGGTGGGGGGCAGGGGGAGGTGAGTGGGGCATCCAGGGAGCTCAAACTGGGACTTTAGGGATGGGTGGGATACGAATGGAGAGGAAGGAGGCGCTGCCCAGGAGAGTGCCAACACTGTCCCCTTGTGTCCCAGCGTCTGGAGGACCAAGTGAATGTGCGGAAGGAGGAGCTGGCGGAGCTGTTTGACCAGATGCCCTCACTAGGAGAGGAGGAGGAGGGCGCTGACTTGAGCATCGAGAAGCGGTTCCTAGACCTCCTGGAGCCCCTAGGGAGGAGAAAGAAGCAGCTAGAATCATCCAGAGCCAAGCTGCAGATCAGCCGGGACTTAGAGGACGAGACGGTACATGGGCTGCAACCCTTGACTCCCCAGCAGTCGAGGCAGTGGCTGCCGTCAGGGTTCCTGGCTGCTGCCCAGCTCTTGGCAGCAGGTGTCTGCTCATCTCGCCCCCTTATCTCGCAGGATGGTTGTGATGCTTATGTTAAATATAAAAGTAAAGCCAGTGCTTTTTGAATGTTAACTCACTCATGGACTTTGGGGCCAGGCAGGCTTGGGTTCCCAATCCAGCTACGTTACCTTTCCCCTGTGTGACCAGGAACAGGATATTAGGAACCTCGACTCAAAAATGTCAGAATGTCCCCAACTGTAAAACGGGGGCAAAACCCTGATATGGGGTATTGGGAGAAACCAGGAAGACATGACAAGCGGAACTCCATGGATCGTGGCGGGTGCTTGGGAAAGGGTGGGCACAATTGTCATCAGCTGTCCTCTTGCCTTTGGTCTCCGCAGCTCTGGGTGGAGGAGAGGCTGCCTCTGGCCCAGTCGGCTGACTATGGCACTAATCTGCAAACTGTACAGCTGTTCATGAAGAAGAACCAGGTGAGTGCTGCCTTACCTTGTCAGTGCGACCTGCCCCCTTCTGCCCTGCCCTGTTTTTACCTGCACAAGGCCAGCTACAGAAGATTGTTGCTCTTAGTAATACTTTGGGGCCCCTGGACCCCCTAACAGCAGCTTTGGTGATGGCAGGGAGAATTCTGAGAGGACCACAGGAGAGCAGGGTAGGGGGTTGTTTAGGATGCTTTGGGATTTGGGGCCATTCAGACCCATCGGGGCACAGGCGGATGCAGGACCCAGGTGCCCTGGCCTTGGGTTTAATTCTGCGGCTTCTGTATTCCACGGCCTCCCTGAGAGGAGGCCCAGAGCTCCTGGCTGCGCTCCCTCATCCAGGGCTGAGCTGGGCAAGTTGGGTGTCCTCAGGGTAAGTGGGCCCCGCTTCTCTGGACACATGAGGACTTGTGGAGCTCACACTGCATTAGGAAGCCATGAAACTTGGACTCTGAGCCATTGGAGCAAACATTCATTTGCTGTCCTGCTCTCTCTGAGGCCTGGTTGGAAACTTCTGTGGCCCTGGTCAGGATCCTGGAAGTGAGCAGAGACCACACTTCCTCTTGTGCCTGAGTTACCTTGTATCTTCCACGGCCAGTTACGTTGGTTGTGCTGCCTCTGTGTCTGGCCAAGGGCTGACCGTCGACCCTGCTTTTGGGTGGAGAGTCCTTCCTCCTGCCTGGTCTGCTCTTTGGGTCAAGATGTAAGGGCAGCCACAGTGATAAGCAAGGAGAGCCTGGGGATTTATCCCGGAGAAAGCAGGATGTCCCAGAGTGCCAGTCAGCATTGTAGCTCCTTGGGAAGGAAGGTCGCGGCAGACAGTACTTCCCTCCCCAAAGCAACATCAGCTGCCATCTGCTCACAGAGTCTAGCAACTGTGCAACGGCCTGAATTCAAAGGGGTTCCTTAAAAGCTCCCTCATATCTTTTGCTTGTAGCTGACATGATCAAAAGGCTTCCGTGGACTCACAAAGGGACCTGGGCTGGAAGGTGGTAGGATGTGAGTTAACACCACAATCTCCGCTTGAAGGAAGGAGGCCAGTAGAAGACAGTACCTGGGGGGCCTCAGTTTCCTCAACTGTAAAATGAGCCGACTTCAGTCCTTCCAACAGTAAAAAGTTTGGACTGTGTCTAGTTAGTGTTATTGCCAAAAGATTTCCATCTCCCCTGGCCAAAGGATGTTATTTTAAGGAAAGGGCAAGTATAAACGGGGTTCTTCTAAACAAGAAGGGAAAGATAATCTCCTGGGAGAGAGTGGCTGCCCCAGCGAAGACTATTTTAGGCTAACCTGGCTAAAGCTCAAACCCCATTTTAGCCGTCCTTCTATCACTGTGGCTCTCAAACCTCAGTGTGCAGCAGCCTCGCCCGGGGGCTTGTTCAAACACAGCTGACCAGGCTCCACCCCAGAGCCACTGAGTCAAGCTGGGAGTAGAGCCTGGCAATTTCCATTTCTACCAAGATCCTGGGTTATGCTGAGGCTGCTGGTCCGGACCCCACTTTCAGAGCCACTGCTTTAAAGGCAACTAGGACAAATCCCGCAAGGTGCCACATAAATGGTTTTCAACTCTGGCTTTCCATTAAAATCACCTAGGGAAACTTTCAAACCTACAAATGCCCCAGCCCCACCTCAAAGCAATTAATTAGGCTCCCCGGGATGAGGGCCCCGGCTGTGTCTGTTTCCCCAGATGCAGCCAGGGTTGAGAACCACAGTTCTGTCTGATCTGGCCCCTGCTTGCCTTTAGATCTCACCTGTTATCACTTTCTCCCGCTTTCACAGTGTTCTGGCTTTCCGGCCCCCTCTCTCTGGCCATTAGACAGCCCAGGCTCGCCTCCCCCCCAGGGACATTGTAGCTGCCCTTCCCTCTTCCCAGCCACATTCATCCCCCAGATCTTTGTGTGGTGGCATCTCACTCCAACGTCACCTCCTCAGAAAGGCCCTCCTGACTCCCCAGGGTAAAGCAGCCACCACCAACTGCGGCTGACTTTCTTTATCTCGTCGTATTTTCCCTCTGGCACCCATTATCCACGTTTATGCATTTACCTACCTGCTTACCACCTATTTCCTCTACTGGGGTGTAAACTTTATGAGAGCAGGGGTTTTGTTTCTGCATTGTCCCTAGAGCAGGCTCTGCTATATGCAAAATAACTTAATAAATATGCATTTTATGAAGTCAGGGAAGAAGACATCACATGTAAGCTCACTGCACGGGACCCCAGAAATCAATTCTGAGAGGCCAGGGGGGAGAGAGAGAGAGAGAGAGGAGAGAGAGAGAGAGGCCTTTGAGGTTCCCTTGCTGAGGTCCTAAGATCCAGGGAAAGTAGAGACACGCAGAACTGACACCATGGGTGGTTTGAATACAATTGCACCGACCACGGGAAAATGTCAGCCTCAATTTCAAGTGTAAAAATGCACTTCAGAGCGTTAGGTGATGTTGATGTGCGGATGTTGCCAGTTCCATGTATTTTCAGTGCTGTCAGTCACTGTACTGCCCACGTGTCCTGCTTTTGCCCCTGCCCTCCAGATGGCTTTAAAGGCCAGGACAGTTGTAGAAAGGGAGGAAGGGAGGCATAAGGGGCTGGGAGCCCACACACAAGAAGCACCCAGGCTCGGGCCTCTGGGACTGCAAAGTGTGTGACACATGCGTCATGGCCCCCTGCAGAAAACGGTGACCCAGTCCCCAGAGTGGGAGGAAAATGCCATTCTGGTCATGAAAGATTCAAACAAGAAAATAATACAAAGCTCATAAGAGATTTGAGAAATAGAAATGGGGAAAAACAAAATAAAACCCATAACTCTGTACAAGGAGTAACTGTCAACTGTAGTTTTATAGGAGTGAAAGCTCTTAGGATAAGATATCAAAAGGCTGTCGAGGCACTGTTTTCCTTTCCTCTATCCTGTACAGCTAAGAAGTCAAGCTCTGCTAGAACACAGGGAGGATAGGGAGCAGTCCGGAGCACAGGCTGTGGGATCAGAGGGAGTCATGTTCAAATCCCGGCTCTGCCACTCACTGCCTGTTCCTTACCTGCTCTGTGCCAGTGTCTGGTGCTCATCCCAGCAGACCGTGGGAGTGTGAAAGGAGAATGATGTGAAGTGCCTAGCACTGCGCCTGGCAGTTTTTACGGCCACCGCCTGCCCTGCTCGAGCTTCCCCGAGTGGGAGAGGGCAAGCGGTGCCAGGTGTGAGCTCGGCAGCCTGCTGCAGGCACGGCCTCGCCCGCATGCCCTCTGAGCCCTTCCCCTCTGGCCCCAGACCCTCCAGAATGAGATCCTGGGCCATGCACCACGGGTCGAGGACGTGCTACAGAGAGGGCGGCGGCTGGTGGAAGAGGCAGAGATCGACTGCGGGGACATCGAGGAGCGCCTGGGCCGCCTGCAGAGCTCATGGGACACGCTGCGGGAGGCGGCCGCCGGGCGGCTGCAGCGCCTGCGGGATGCCAGTGAGGCACAGCAGTACTACCTGGACGCGGGTGAGGCCGAGGCCTGGATCAGCGAGCAGGAGCTCTATGTCATCTCAGACGAGACCCCCAAGGTGGGCTCAGGCCAGGGGTGCCCGGCTGGGTGCCAAGGCCAAGAGGGAGGGCGGGGGCGGGCAGTCAGTGGGGAGCTGTGTAAGTCAGGTGTGTGAGAAGTGAGGCGGGGGGAGGGGGTGTACAAGGAACCCTCCTCCTCAGGACACCCCACTTCTTGCGTCTACCCCTGCTGCCCGCCTACTGCAGCTGTGTGCCCTTCTGCCAACCTAGATTTGTTTCAACCCAAAGGTCCTTCACCTTTTTGTACCGTGGATTCTGTGTTGAGGAACTGTTACAGGAAGTGGGAGGGGTGACGTGTGACGTGAGGGGGTCTCTAAAGCTGGAATGATAGGGGAAGTTTTCACAAAACAGAGTTGGAGCTGGGCCTGGAAGGATAGATACCGGGTTGGAGGGGGTCAGGAGGAAGGTGGGAGGCGGGCATCCCCACCCCCCACCTTCCCATTGCTGGGAAGCGGGGAGCAGGAAAGGGTGCACAGTTCCCCTGTGGGCATCCCTGGAGCCTGGTTCTCTCCCAGGTGGGGCTCCTCCAGGAGCTGGGCTGTAACCTGGACCAGACCAAGCTCCCCGAGCTCATGCTGACAGTCCCCTGCCTCCCAGGATGAAGAGAACGCCATCGTGATGCTGAAGCGGCATTTGCGGCAGCAGCGTGCAGTGGAGGAGTATGGGCGGAACATCAAGCAACTGGCCGGCCGGGCCCAGAGCCTGCTCACAGCAGGCCACCCTGAGGGGTGCGTGTGCCAGCTGGGGTGACTTGGCCGGGTCATGGGTGTCAGGCCAGGGGCCCCACCAACCAGGATCTGTTCAGGTTCTAGTGGGAAAACGGGCGGTTTTCCTGAAAGCAGGAGTTTGAGAAAGCTGCTTTCTGCACTCTTGATTGGCCCCATTCCACTTCAGGCCCTGGTTCTGTGCGGGTAACTTCAAACAGGGCCGACTGAGGTCTGGCTTGCAGAAAGATCAGAAAACAGAAAAGCAAAACTATCCTCTGAGTGAGTTGAGCGCCCCGATCTTTTGAAGAGTTAGTCTCTGCCACGCAAGGCTGAAGACTAATGTCACTTTTTATCTTCTGGTCCAGAAGGTACTCCACGATCTCACAGTCTTGTGGCAAAATTATTATAGAGGGGGTGGAGGAAGCAAACCTTTTATCTATCTTGGCGGTTTGGTTGTGTGGGTTCTGCATAAATGGGAGCTCATTGGGCCACACACCTCAGGCTGCCCCCAGTCATGGCTCGGTCCTCAGCTGCCTGCATCCGCAGCCACAAGCCCTTGGCAGCCACCTCAGCATCTCCCAAGGAGCCCCAAGGATGGAGCCCTGGGTACTGCACATCCCTCTCTGAAGAGCTAAGCAGAGCTACTAGGGTCCTGCTCAGACAGCCTGCCCCATCAGCCTCCTTGGGAGAATAGTGGAGAAGTCCCCCTTTGCTCTTGTCTCTCTAGGCTTCCCAGGGTGCAGGGCAATGACGGGAAGCATCCACCTCCAAGGGGGACACATTCTGTCATCCCCTGAAGCATCATGGTCTAGGAGTGGTTCCTTCCCTCCCAAACTCTTCCCTGGGAGACGTCACTGCCATTTCTCCTGAGCTGTGTGTCCCCACCTGTCCCTGTCACAAGTCCGGGAGGAGTTGGTCGGCTCCTCTGAGCTGGCTGCCCTGAGTTTTCTATCACCATCTCTGAACACTTTCTTGTTTTGAATTCCAGGGAACAGATCATCAGACTTCAGGGGCAAGTGGACAAGCAGTACGCGGGGCTGAAGGACATGGCGGAGGAACGCAAGCGGAAGCTAGAGAACATGTACCACCTGTTCCAGCTGAAGAGGGAGGCTGACGACTTGGAGCAGTGGATTGCAGAAAAAGAGCTGGTGGCCTCGTCCCCAGAAATGGGGCAAGACTTCGATCATGTTACTGTGAGTACTCACAGCAACCACTTTCTTCATCTTCCTCTAATGCAAGAGCCATTGCCCCAGACACATACACACACACCCCCTCCGGCTGCAAAATGCTGCACAGAGAGGCAGGCACAGTGGTGGGCGCTCCGGATGCCCTGCAGAAGGTGTGAGAGTGTGGCTCCAGGTGGTTGTAGCTGCCACGTGGGAAAGTCTACAGCCAGTGTGACGACACCACTCACCCCTGACCTCGATAACCACATTTCTTCCTACCCCCTGTCCAGCTGCTCCGGGACAAGTTCCGGGACTTTGCGCGGGAGACTGGGGCCATTGGGCAGGAACGGGTGGACAACGTGAATGCCATTATCGAGCGACTCATCGACGCGGGCCACGGAGAGGCAGCCACCATTGCCGAGTGGAAGGACGGACTGAACGAGATGTGGGCCGACCTGCTGGAGCTCATCGACACGCGCATGCAGCTGCTGGCCGCCTCCTATGACCTGCACCGCTACTTCTACACGGGCACCGAGATCCTGGGCCTCATCGACGAGAAGCACCGCGAGCTGCCAGAGGACGTGGGGCTGGACGCCAGCACCGCCGAGTCCTTCCACCGGGTGCACACGGCCTTCGAGCGGGAGCTCCACCTCCTGGGCGTGCAGGTGCCTTCTGTCCCTTGCTGCCCACCCACAGGCTCTGGGGACTTGCCTTCCACACCTTCTCCATGACCAGTTTCCTGGGGGCCGTGGGGTATCAGGTCCTCTCCTGGCTTCTACAGGGGAAACCTCTAGAACAGAGGCAACAGCTCAGAGAGGCAGCAGCTCAGGACAGGAAGGCAGGAACAGTGGTTTTTGGATGTCCTTCAGCTTCTAGTTCTTCAAACTGAATCTTTATAAAAACCCAATGCATAAAATACCTTAAAATACAATTTCTCTGGTGGTGCAAAATATTACAAGTGTTGTGAGCAAACACATATGTTTTCAAGCACCAGGTTCCATTCTAAGCTAAATACATATTCACTGAACCCCGGAGCCACCCTCTGAGGAAGGTACCGATATTATCTGCACTTTACAGATTAGGGAAAGCAGCCACAGCGAAGGTCAGTAAGGGGCCCGGGAACCTGCACATCAGTGGCAGAGCCCTGGCAGCCTGGCTATAGACACTGCGCCCTCAGCCACAGGGCTGCTCGGCCTTCCCACATGGGGGCTGCAGGAGCCCCCAAATCTGCCTAGATCCCCCCTCCTCCCTTCACAGGGGTGCCCCTGAGGGACCTCCACAGGTCCATAGGGCTTCTTCTACAGAGTGCAGTGTGATAGAGCCTGCGGCAAGGGGCCCCAGCTGTTGGGACTTGGTGAGCTTCCCACAGGGCAGAAGAGATGGGCTGTTGTGCAGCCTTGCACCGACCCAGTGGGGTTCAGGACCCGCAGTTCACCCAGAACGGGAGGCAGTGGCAGGTCCTAGGGATTTGTCCTTCAGCTGGAGGTGGAGCCTTGGAGGCGTCTGAGCCCTGAGGCAGGCCCAGCCCCACTGAGCCCTTAGGGAGGAGGCCTCATTGCCCTAGGGCGGGCCTCAAGCAGGGGTCTGGCCCCGCCCCTTCCTCAGAGAGGCCGCAGGCAGAGTGGTTACGTACAGGGACAGCTGCCCCGCCCTGCTGCTGTGAGTGACCTTAGGCCCGTGGCCTAGCCCCCTGTGCCTCCACTTCTTCATCTCCCAAACAGGGACAATAATAGTACCTTTTTCATGGGATGGTTGTAGAAATGAAGAGAGTAATAAATTAAAGTGTTTAGAACAGCTCCTGGTACATAGTTACTCTGATTATCATATCTCTGAGGAGATCAAAGGACATAGAATCCCTCTCGCTCCCCTTTGATGAGGATCAAAGCCTGAGGTGAGGGAGGGGTACCTTGGATCAGCAGAGGTGCCAAAGCAAGGGCCTTCTGCAGCACCCTCTGGGTGGTGCCTTCCAGCAGTGCCCTGGCAAGGGAGGCCGCAGCAGGCAGATGCCTCACCCGTCCCAGGCCCAACATGCATCTTTCAGGGGAACAATGCCCAGTTTTGCCTGCCCACAGGTACAGCAGTTCCAGGATGTGGCCACCCGCCTGCAGACAGCATATGCTGGGGAAAAGGCAGACGCCATCCAGAACAAGGAGCAGGAGGTGTCTGCCGCGTGGCAGGCGCTGCTTGACGCCTGCGCCGGGCGCCGCACCCAGCTGGTGGACACAGCGGACAAATTCCGCTTCTTCAGCATGGCCCGCGACCTCCTCTCCTGGATGGAGAGCATCATCCGGCAGATCGAGACCCAGGAGAGGCCCAGGTGAGGGGCGCGTCCCCAGGGCAGCCCCATGCCTTGGCCACGTTGTCCCAGAGGCTGGCAGCCCAGGGCACTGCCCTGAGGCTTCTCCCCGGAGGGACAGTCCTGCACTGTGGGTGCACAGGAGTCCTGGGGGGACAACTGAGGGCTGGGTCCTGGCAGAAACCGAGTGGCTCAGCTCCCGCTAGGAGGACTGACCATTTCCGAGTAAAGGGGATCCTGAGAGTGGCAAGAAAGATATCTGTCTGTGAGCTTCTACAGTGACGGCAGTGAAAATACAGGGTTCACTGTTGATTCTTCCCCAAGTGCTGGGTTATGAGGGCTGTTCCCCAAAACTCAAGACAGAGCTCATTGCTCGTGGGAGGGGGCAGCAGGCCCCTGGGCACCGAGAGCCTCAGCGGGAACCTGGGCGCTCTATGCACTTTGTGTCATGTTAGCAGGTATCTTTGGCCCTTGGCTCCCCCTCTGCCCGTCTGGTTGACCGCCTTTATATTTAACATCTTCATTGACATATAACTCACACACCATGCAATTCAGTATTCCGTGGTTTTTCATATAGTCACAACCATCACAATATAAATTTAGAAGGTTTTCATCGCCCCCAAAAGAAACCCTGTACCCCTCAGCCATCCTCACCCCACAGTCCCCCTTTCCTCAGCCCCTGGCAACCACTAATCGGTTTTCTGTCCCCCTAGACTTTTTACTTGTGTAGAGTTATGTACGGTCTTTCTTGACTGGCTTCTTTCACTCGGCACACCCTCTACAAGATTCCTCCATATTGTAGCATGCATCAGTACTTCATTCTTTTTTTACTGCTGAATAATATTCCCAGGCTGCTTTTGGGGTCCCTGCACTTTACTATGCCCTGGCCGTGAGCAGTGACAGACACCAAGGCATCAGTGTTCCCACTGGGGCCAGGCTGGCAGAGAAGGGAGCAGGCTCATACCCCCAGGCAGGGGGAGGGTGGACCCTCTGATCGGAACTTGGCATCAGGCTGACCAGTCACCAGCGTTTGCTTCTTCCTCAAACTCTCTCCCCGGCTCCTGTCCTCCTGCCCCACCCCCACCCCAGGGACGTCTCCTCTGTGGAACTGCTCATGAAGTATCACCAGGGCATCAGGGCGGAGATTGAAACCCGAAGCAAGAACTTCAACACCTGCCTGGAACTTGGCGAGTCCCTGCTGCAGCGGCAGCACCAGGCGTCCGAGGAGGTGAGGGGGACAGAGATGGCCTTCTCCCTGCCCTTGCCGCCACTCTTTCCAGACCAGACAGCTTCCTGGGAGCGTTCCTGGGAGGAGGCACATGTTTCTGTCCCCCAGGGAGCACTGGTGATGAGAGCCCCACCAAACCTTTCCAAGGGCGGGCTGCTTGTAGGGACAGCAGGCGAATAACCCGCCTAACGCCCACATGTGTGCATGTTTTGCAGTTGGCAACTTTCTAGGGGAGGCACATGTGCCTCAGAGAGGTTAAGCCACATGACCAAGGCTGCAGAGCTGGCAAGTGGCAGGGCCAAGACTGGAAGCCAGGTCTTTGTGACCAAGCCCATCCAGCATTCTTTGCAGGATCTCTCTGTGCCCCACCCCACACAGGGGGCGGGGTTACCAAAGCCTGTGCTGTTCTCCCTCCCTCCCGACAGATCAGGGAGAAGCTGCAGCAGGTGGTGTCCAGGAGGAAGGAGATGAACGAGAAGTGGGAGGCCCGCTGGGAGCGGCTCAGCATGTGTGAGTGCAGCCTGGGAGCCAGGGAACCCAGAGGGGCGGGGGCGGGGCTGACGTCACCGCTGCTGAGTGAAGAGCCCCCACAGCACACTCATCGTGAAAGATCCGTTTCCAAGGGCCTCAGGAGCCCCCTCAGGAGATGCGTACTGCAGGAACCAGCCAGCCAGCCCCCACCTCTGCAGCTCTCGGCCCCATTCCCCCCACCTCCTGTCAGGCTGGGACCCCTATAGAGTGTGACTTGGAGAGGGGTCAGGGTAGGGTTCTAGGGCATCCCAGGTGTTTGATCTGAGGCATGTCAGGCACAGAAGGAGCTCTGTCCTGCGCAGCTGGAGACTAGGAAAGGTGGAGAAATCCTACCACTCTGTTGGGCGCCACAAGCCAAGAAGACCTGGACTGGTCCCGTGGCTATTTGTGCACGATTTTGTGAGACAGCCAAGGGCTGGGAAAAGGGTGTTCAGGGCAGATGACAGCTCCTCAGAGGGAGACATCTAAACAACATCTTGTTTTCAAAATGGAGTTCGTTCTAATTGGTGGGTTTTTGAAGCATCACTGTCAGTAGAGATGAGGTAGGGGCCTGGTGTGGGGAAGGAGCAGCCTCAGGCAGGAGGTTACCACTGAGCAGGGTGTCCACGCAGTAACAAGCACACCTGTGTGGGCTTCGTGCCTGACTGCCGACTCTGAGTCGGTCTGCTGAGGGGCCCCCGGGGCCCCGCAGGAGCGGACCTTTGGAGGCTGACAGCCCCCTGGGCCCTGTGGGTGGGCCTGCACCTTGTTCTCCATGACAGTGCTGGAAGTGTGCCAGTTCTCTCGGGACGCATCTGTGGCTGAAGCGTGGCTGATCGCTCAGGAGCCCTACCTGGCCAGCCGGGACTTTGGACACACAGTGGACAGTGTAGAGAAGCTCATCAAGAGACATGAGGCTTTCGAGAAATCCACAGCCACCTGGGCAGAGCGCTTCGCTGCCCTGGAGAAGCCCACCACGGTGAGCGGGAGGCTGGGGTGGTGGGCAGCCACGCCTTCGGGGTACCCCAAGTCAAGAACCCTTAGCCAGTTATTGGACACCCAGAACCAGTGTAAAAGGCTCGGCAAGGTGGGAGAGTGGGAAAGAGGTAGGAGTGGTAGAAAGTACTGACTTTTGAACCCAAAGACAAATAGGGATAATCCCAAAAGGAACATACACCCGGGTGTGTTGTGTCTGAGAATGGTCGGTCCCGCCTCCTCGGTGGCTCTGACAGCCTTGGCCTTTTCCTCCCCTAGCTTGAGCTCAAAGAACGCCAGACCCTGGAGAGACCCGTGGAGGAAACTGGGTAAGTATGGGCAGCGCTGAGTGGCGGCTTCGCCAGAGCACCGTGCCAAGGGCAGGGCGAGGGGGGTGATGGTAAGGGAGAAGGGTATTTTAGATCAGAAACAGCCCCCTGATGTTTTAACACTACACCAGTGACCTCTCACACCTCGGTCACTAGTTAGAGAAATGTGGAGTGCCTAGGACTTACAGCCAGAGAAGAGCTTTCGATAACCCCAAATCACGAGTGGCCTGAAGACCTGCTGCAGACCAAGCTGGTAGAGGGCAGGGGCCGCTGCAGTGTCACCTCCCTTGCTCTGGGAGCCGGCTGAACACAGGCCCCGGAGTGTCCATTCCTGCAGTGTCTGCCTTAACCAGCAAGTTAAGGCAGATTAAGTGGCTCCTTGCCAAGCACCTGCCGGGCTGCCCAGAGGCTGGGGGGCGGGGGAGACCCATGGCATGAGTTCCCTGGAGGAGGGTGGGAGAGCCCGGTTTGGGGGTAGGCGCTGGCCTCAGAGAGGTGCTTGTTTCTAAAGAGGGGCTGTGTCTTCATAGGCCTCAAGAGGATGAAGGCGAGACAGCAGGGGAGGGTCCCCAAGTTCCCCATCCAGCGACCACCGTGAGAACGTCCCCGGTCAGTTTCCTGTCCCACTTGTCTAGTTCCTTGGAGTCGTTGCTGCCAGAACCCGCTCATCCCTACTAGGCTCGGCCAGGGGGCCAGGGCGGAGGTCGAGGACAGGCACACGCCACCCACCCGCCCCCAGACTCCTCCTTCAGATCAGTCTGCAGTGTTCACCTAGGTTTTCCCTTCAGCCCAGAAGAAACTGACATGCCAGCCCACTGACATGACTCTCTTAGTTTGGTTTTATCTAGTCTAATAAATTTAAATTTTCTTGTATAAATATGTCACCATCTACATCAGGGGAAACAGTTTATACAAAAATGATTAATTTTTATAAACCATCCTTTTTCCCATTTTCCCTCACTCCATCATTAATGCAGTGTCCCCTGCACGCACATGCGCGCGCGCACTCTCTCTCTCTCTCTCTCTCTCTCTCTCTCTCACCCACCAGTCACAGATAGACTGTCCAGTCGTGCCTGTCACAGGCATTTCAGGACGCCCACCCCCCAGCAGATTCCTCCCTCCCAGGCAGAGCCCGCCCCCTTGCACCGTCCTGGCCTGAGGCCTGCTGGTCAGTGAGTTTGGATGTGGAATTGGTTCTGGGGCAAGAACAAACTTGAAAGCGCCCTGCAGGCATGTGGAAGAGCCACAGGGCCAGTCCCCAACTTGCAGAAAGGAGGGTGTGTGGCTGAGGGAGAAATAGGAGGAGACTCAGACGCACCAGCTGCCAGTCACCACCTGGGCATACAGCTTCCGGACCTTGTCTGGAAGAGGTCTCTTAGCTAACAGGACCCAGGAGGTCTGTGCAGGAGGCCTGGGAGGCTGCAGCCCAGGTTTGAGGGAAGCGCCCTGGGGAATGGCTGACTGAGAAGAAAGCAAAAATTCAGCATGTGCCTCGCATGGCTTCACCACTGCATGTACCCCACTTCTACAGGGGCCCGGGTAAGCTTGCCAGAACTGTTGGGGGGTTAGGGAAGTTGGTATTCTAGGTGGAAATTTCTGGTACTCCAACCACTCCAGAAAAAAATACACACACTGTGAGAATTTCCTGTGCAGAATCCCTGTCGGGTCCACACTTCAGCTCTTCCCACACTTCTGTGACACATACATACTCACTCACTCACACACTCACACTGACTCTCAGCTCCCTTTGCGCCCCTCCTGCCTGGCCAGAGGCCTCCCTTTCTGAGCTGCACCAGCCCGTCATGTCCAGCAGAGGGCATTCCTGGGCTCCCGCTGGAGGGTCTCTCCCAGAAGTTCCCTCTGAAGCTCCCATCATCGCTTGTGGGATCTCAGGTGGACTTCGTCCCAGCCCCTTTCTCCCAGTGACAGCCCCCACTGGAAGGAGAGAGAGCTGGGGGCTGGCACAGACTGTGGACACAGGGGCTGGGACGGTCCCTGCCTCCCATACTACCTGCGCTTCGGTTGTGCATTCCTGTGTGTCTGTGTGCGGTGGTGTCCCAGGTCTGCAGGCTCCTTTGTGGCCACCCGAATGACTCCATCCATTGTTCGTGCCCTGTGCGTCTGTGCAAATTTAATTACATGTGAATCAGAGCCGCCTCCATCCAACAGCTGAATGTCAATGGGTTTGGGGGGAATAAAACCTGCTTGGACCCGCGTGTCTCTGGAGGGTGGAGTGAGCCCACATTTGAGACACTTCTCAGAGAGCCAGCCACACCAGCTGGGAAAGCTGGCCCATGCCCAGTACCGGGAAGAAACCAGATGGCGAATCAATGAACACCAGGCCCGAGGCCTCATGGAAACATTTCCTGCTGCTGCTCCTGTCTCAGCTCTCTGTTGAGTTTTCATGAGGATCCACGAAACTCCAAGGGAGGGTGTGATACCCAATTGGTCTTTTGATACGAGAATAAAAAAGAACAGGTCCCCCAGGGGCTGGGAAACCTTTGCAGAAACCGCAGGCCTCGCCCAGGAAGGGCTGGCTGGCTGCTGAGCCTTCCCTGGGTAGGCCTGGGCTACGGTGGCTGTCTGCTGTCCCTCGTGTGTGGTCTGGTGTCGGTGCTCTATAGAATAGATCCACGCGATGTTGCTTCATGTGAAACCCATCACTAGCGCATGCCAGCTTCCTGCTTGGGGGGACAGACGGGAGTGGACCAAGCACCTGAACCCCTGTCTAGGCTGCTGCACACCACAGGTGGCCACCCTGCAGGCCCCATCCGGGCCCTCCCCTTCCTGGCGCATGCAAGCGCACACACGTGTACACGCAGGGACTGAAGCACCATTCCCTGCACCACTGTTTTCTTCAAGCACATCATTGGAATGCATCACCTCCCTCACCTCTTTCTTTTCCACATTAGAGTTGTGTTCTGTTAAAAAAACAAACAAACAATCCATTCATACAGGTAAGTGTACAAATAAGTGTGTGGGGCCAAGCATAAGAAACAAGGTATTACAATAGGCAAAAGCCCTGGAGTAGGGGGCCAAGACGTTGGGTTGTAATCCTGAATTCTTCAGGAACCTTCCTGCATGATTTTAGACAAGCCACTTAATCTTTCTGGGTCTTGTTGCCCTTATAAAGCCCTATGCAGGATTATAGAAAGTCCAGAACATTCTGAAATGTCATCAATGTCTGAATGAAGGGAGGGGCAGAGGAAGGTTGTTTTCCCATTTCCTCTTGTCTCCTCTGTAGCTCGAGGGGACCTGGTTTGTGTTTGTCAGGTACCAGTGGCTGTGAGGCAGGAGATGGGAAGGATGGGGCACAGGGCCGGGGTGTTTGCCTTTGTCCTTGTTCAGGGAAGAGCAGCAGGGCTGAACCTCGGTTCCTGACAAGGTCAGTGCTCTGAAGGCAGCCCTGGGTCCTGGAGGGGACCCTGGCAGCGGGTGGAGCCAGCCCCCTCCCTCAGTGCCCGGGCACCCTCACCCCATCACCCTGTGTCCCCCGTCATCTTGGGTGTGGCTCTGGGAAGGGCGGGGGTCCTGCTAAGCTGCTCACCTTCCCGGCTCTGAATGCCTCAGAATCCTCAGTATGACATTTGTAGTGAGTTACTGGCTATTGAGATGTTGAGGTTGATTTCACAGAGCAGAAGTGGTATGGCAGAGGACCCGAGTCACCCCAGGATTCAGGGCCCCCATCCAACAGCCCTGGGACGTCTTCTGTGCCCTGGGCTCGTCCCTGGCTTTGTGGTGAGGAGCAGGGCCTGCCCTAGGAACTCGCCCAGCAGGGCTGCTCGGACAAGTCACACCCTGGAAAGGGATTGGTGCTTCTAGGGGCTGTGACAAGAAACAGTGTCTTCAGGGTTCATGGTTTGAGGCATTCACGCCCTGGCTGCCTTCAAGCCTCAAGGCTAGATCCAGTCTGTGGTTCAGGAGGACTCTAGGGCACCAGGCCAGTCCAGAAAGCAACTGCCTGGGTGCCATTTATTAGCAGGCCCCTAGTCGTCATGGAAAACTTTTACCCGAGCACTCACAGCCAGCACTCTTGCTGTGACCTTTGAAGACCGCCTGCAGCTGGCTTCCTCATTAAGGGTGAACACGGGGAGTGGAGACTTCTAGGTCCCTTGCCTCTCCCTCCCATAGGCTTCCAGGTCCCTGTTGCTTCAGAAGAATGATCAGCACTGGAACATGTGAGGGACGGGGCTCCAGGGGCTGACCGGATGCTGGATTGCAGCCCCTCCCATACCCCTGTGAGACAGGACACCCTTCACCCAGTGCCTGGCAGGCTCCAGCTGCTGTCACCCCCTTGGCAACCTGTACAACTGCCCCGCCCCCACCTGCCCCCAGCGGGCAGCCTGGAGCTTTAATCAGCAGCCAGAGGCCGGGCTCTGACGTCCTTGGATGGAAGGGATGTGGGTGTGGAGGCAGCAGCTGTGTTTCTTCTTGCCTGAGCAAGCTTTCCCCATCCCTTCTCCCCTCCCCGGTGAGGCCAAACGGAGCTGCTGTTTCAGGCATTTTGCAGTGAATGCCAGTGGGGCGTTTGCTCATAATGAGCAGACCCGGCCTGGAAAGAACTTTGGTTTTTGCCTAAACTTGGGTGTGTCCTTGTCTCCCCAGGATGCCTGAGTCAGCGTGGCAGGGGTGTGTCTGCCCACAGTCTGGCCCAGAGCCCTGGTCCTCCAGGCTCTTTCTGGACATCTGCTCGCTGCTAGGTGTGCCCAGCTCTTTGTGCTGTGGTCAGACGTGATCTTTCTGGCCTCGCTGCTCCAAAGGCCTGTCCGAAACTGTTCTTCCACACTATGTTTCACAGCATCCCAGATACTGATTGGGCTCAGGGCGGCCTCAGGTGACACCGGAGGCATTTCAGGAATGGGGCTTGAAGCTGCCCGCCTGTCAGATGGGTGGTGGACCCGGATGGGGGAGTCAGTGCCTTCTAACCCTTTTAGTCTTTCTAATGCTGACCCAGCAAGCCCCCTGCTCCTGCAGGGCCAGGGCCCGAAGAGCCCACACCAGTGGTGGGAATGACGGAGATGGTTCCCGAGGAAGCCTCTTCTCCGCTCCCCAAGATGCTGCTGGTGGATCAGGTCTCCCCACTCCCTGTCAGAAGGGACCTTGAACACTCCCCTCTCCACTCCTCCTCGCTTTACCGGGTGGCCTCCCGCGCAGTGTTCCCTCCCACTGTTTGCCCTGGTTCCCCGGCTGCTGTCTCAGACAGCCGCCCCTGGGTCACCGTGTTGGTGTGCTCCGCTCGCTCCATCCCACTTCTCATGAGAGCCCCTCCCCGTCCCGCCACCCACTGGGGAGCCCCTCACTGCCTGGTCCAGCGTCGGCTCCTCAGGCACCTTTTTTCTTACTCAGCAACCATTTCTTCCTCTCCTGAGGTTTGTCTCTGCTCATCCTAAGTTGCTCTCTCTTCATCTCTTTGGCTGTTCTCAGTTCAACAAACCATCTCTTTTCCTTTCCTTGCAAACAGTTGTCCTCTGAACAGCCTTCCCAGCCTGTCTGCCAATAGCTCCTCATCCCTCCTCCCTCACCCCTCACCCAGGGGAGGAGAGCCCAGACCTCAGGGGCTGGGGGAGGGTAAAACTCTCAGCCGTGACTGCGGCCAGCGCCCCCCACCCCCCAGTTCCCCAATGCTATTTGCTTGCCCAAGGCATCAGCAATAGGTCTCACCTGGTTCCAAGCCCCTCTTCTGGCCCCTTCCAGTGTGGCTCTGACATGACCTCGCTGCCGCCTCAGCTGACCAGCCACATGTCTTGGATAAGCTGAGCTTTTCTCCTTTAGACTGTGAACCCCATCAGATAGGTTCTTTCCTCTAGAATAGTACCACCCCTCCCCTTGCAACAGGAAGAGCACAGAGTTTGAAACCAGACAGGTCTGCCTCCTCAACCTTCTACTGGCTAGATGTGTGACCGTGGGCAAGTTGTCCATTCACCCTGCCCCCCGGGTCCCCTCATCTGTAAAACTGGTGTAGTGATGGCACTCTGCGCGCAGCAGGGAGCGCAGGGATTGAAGAGAGAACGTAGGTAGACTACCTGGCAACTAGTAGGTGATTAGTTATGTCTTCGTTTTTCCATTCAGTTTTTTTTCCTCCAACCCTCACTGTAGACTTTCATCTCTTAAAAGAAACAGCCTCCTTATGAATTCTAACATCCATTGCCTCAGCCTCCCAAACCTTCCTGGGGTACCTGTTCCTTGAGACCTGCTCCACCCACCCCCTGGGCCCAGTCCTTGTATGACATAGGCAAGACCATCGCGTGGCTAAGGTCAAACGTTCCCTTTCCGGGCTGCATCCTTATGCCCTGGTTCTCACTTATCAGCATCTCCTTTAGAGAAGCCTCCTCACTTGTGTTTCTTTGCTTGCTAGTGTATCTGGGATCACTGAGCATCTTCCGGAACCTCCAAAAGATCCTGTGTTTGCAAACCAGGTTATTGCTCTCCTGGAAGCTAGAGAGCTAGCTGTCTGTGTGCTGTGCCTTCCGCCACCTGCTGGATGAGCCTGGAAGCACACCTTCAACTTTTTTAGTCCGGAAAAGAAATGTACCCATCCTGCTCCACTTCCCCTCCCCTTCGTGAACGTCCTTTGTGGAGGAGACCCTCAACCCTTGCCTGCACCCTCGTTCAAGCCAGCTTCCCAGCAAGGCAGAACCCTAAAAAGTCACGCTTACACGATTGAGGAGGCCAGTCCCCCCACTGCCCACCCGCCAGGAACTGGGGCCTCTCCCTGTTGGATTCGGACCTAGTCTCTCTTGTCTGTGCCCTTCCCTCCCCTGATATCATGGGCCCAGCAGCCAGGGCACATGCCCACCTCTCAGTTGTCTCCCCCGAACCTGCCCCTCAGTCCCCTAGACTGGAGACCCTGGCTCCACCCCTCACCCCTCACCCCAGCCCCCACCCTCATCCGCCCTCATGCTGTCACTCCCACCGATGACCACAGGCTCACCAACAGACCGCTCCAGCCTAACACTGAGAATCTCAAAGCAGCTGGCCCTTCCCCTGTCGGCGTCCCCAGCCCTTGGGTGACATCTCTAGGCTGGGTGCCCTCAGCAGTGCAGGCATAACCTGGACAGCCTCCTAATGGCCTGAGGGCTCAAGCGGCAGGCCTTCTGCCTTACAGAATGGAGGAGAGAAGGGAGGCAGATCATCTCACCTGTCCGGGGTCTCTTGGCAGAACCTGCCTGTCTCTGCAGCCACACAAGCAGCCAGCACTGGGCCCTGGCTTCACAGACCCCTCGGCCCGTTGGGCAAGGCACAGCCTCCGCATGAGAGCCCAGCATGGTCCCCGCACTTTCCCAGCTCCCGTACCAAATGGCACAACGTGTATTTACCCCTGGAACCTGGGGCAGGAGGCCCCTCTGCCCAAACCATGCCACCATCTTCCTCTTCGGAGTCCCCTCCCCCAGCCCAGAGGAAGAGAAGCTCTGCCAGCCCCGGGCCTAAGAGAGGGCAGCAGCCACCAAACGCCGCGGCCTCCTCCTCTTCCTCTTCCTCCTCCTCCTCTGGCCTTGGCCTTCAGGACAGAGAGGACAGGGTGCATTTTATATTGTGTCCACATGAGCGGTCAAGAGCACATAACATTTCGTGCTCTTGCAAACTTTGCAAACATTGGAAAAGCCCTGTTTTCCAAAGCCAACTTACAACCCAGCCATTTAACTTTTGCAAAATGTCCCCACCAGGGAATGCGGGTCAGGCAGCCATTAGAAGGAAGTAGATGAAAGGTAAAATTTAGTTGGTAAGCAGTCCTGGAAAAATTCATCCTTATTCTCAGAGGATAGTTCCCCAAAGGAAGGAGAAAGTTTAAGAAGAAATGTGGACCCACAGGCCTCTAGTAAGACCAGCCCCAGAGGTTAGAGGCTGGGTGAGGGGAGCGAACATGGCTGAGGGGTCTGCCGGGCTCCGCTCCCAGGGTCTGCCATGCCATCTCCCGAGACCCAGGGCAGGCGAGGGGCGGGCTCCAGCCCACCCCCACCAGGAGCAGTGCAGCCAGGTGGGGACGTCAGGGATAAAAAGAGGCTTCACTTTCTGCAATACTATTCCACCTCCCCAAACTTTATACCCAGGTCAGGTCAAATGGTTGGCCTGATTGGGCGCACAGAACCCCAAACCCAGGCTACCAGCCCTATTCCTGCAACTCCTGCCCTTCCCCCCACTAGAGGACGATCAGGCAATGTTTTCAGCCCCTCAGATTCTTGTGGCCAATGCTGGCTCATTGCACTCTTGAAGATACAAATAGTGCAAGACACAGAAAGACGAGTGTGGCCTGGCCACAGCTCTCAAGAGGTTCTATGACAGAAAAGGATGAGAGCCCTAAAGATGTGATGAAAACTCAGGTCCGTCCAATTCTGGCGTGCATATTCCTAATTGCCTCCAATACGTATAAGCTGTGTGATCTCGGATAAGTTGCTTAATGTCTCTCAGCAAAGGTTCTTTCACAGATTGAAGGTATTAGGCTAGGGTAGTGCGGTTTCCAACTTTTCCAGTCATATTAACCTTTCCTTAAATAAGATCTTACCGGAACCCCAACTTATAACCATTTATTGAACAGCCCTAATTTTATGGAATACAAAAGTGACTAGCTTTACCTTTCTTCCAAGCACTGCCTGCAAACATCTCCGTGGAGCCTCCCTTCCCATTCCTTAGCACCATCTCCGGCAGACCCTGGTCACTTTTAGTCTGCCCAAGTGAAAGCTTCCATCTGATGTCCGACAGGGTGCCCACACCCTCCCACCCTCCATCTCTCCATTTCAGGTTTGATCCATATTTGTGGGACCCACAGTGGGGAGCACAGAGTCTGCTCTTTTCCAGCTTCTTTCCAGAGCTCTTGGGGCCTCCACCCATCTTCAGCAAGGGAGGAGGGAGGAGACAAGGGGGCAGAGTCTCATTACTGCCTGGGTCGGCCCTGGTCCTTCAGGTGTTCAGGCACAGCCTGCTTGGGGGCCTTCAAGGCTCTCCCCCCGCCTAAAGTCCAGCGGCCACCTAAAGTCCAGCAGCCAGGCCTTTGAGACAGGGTTCTGACTGATGCCTTAAGCTAGGCTGCCTTCCTCGGTAAGAGACCTGCCCATCCTTGCCTCACCTGGCAGTGGGAGGCAGGCTGCCCCTTGCTGCCCCTCTGTCCTACCCTCTCTTCTCCTGCAGCAGGCACCAGGACAGAGCAACAAGGACTCTGGGGCCCAGCTAGGGGACAGGACATGGGCACCTGACTGACATAGGAAGGCCCTTCACTTGGCTTGGGCAGCGGTGGGGAGAGCCCCACCCTCCACATGGAGGGGCGGGGCAGGGGTGAAGCCACAGTCTTTCCCCAGGGCAGGGACTCCTTACAGGCGACTGTCAACCCCTCCTGCGCATCAGAATGCATGACAAGCTTATGAAGAAATACTCAAGTGCAGACCCCGCTCCAGGCCAGTGAAAGCAGCCTCTTGAGGGGTCTGGGCCTGTTTTGTTAAAGCCCCCGAGGTGCGTGGAAAAGGCAGCCAGCCAGGCTTAGGAACCACTGCCCTCCTCCAAGAAATCCCCACCAAGTGACAGGAGCAGGACCAGTGAGTCCGGGCTCCTCCTTTTTAAGGTAGCGGGGGACACAAAGGGACTGCTGCCCTAACTTTGAGGCTTCAGATATGTGTGGAAGGTAAGAGAAGAGGTCCCATTCAACATCTTATACAAGTGTTTTCAAACCCGCCTTAACAGCAGCCCTTTGCTCCTAGGAAGTCTGGCCAGGGCCCACGCAAGAGCTCAGCCAGAGGCGGAGCGTGTGACTGAAGCAGCGGTGGGGGCCTGGGGCCGGGCAGGGAGCCGGGGCTTTGCCAGCTGTGTTGGAACCCCCGGATGAGATCATCGCTCAGGCCGCCTTCAGCTCACTCCAAGAACTTCTGTTGATGTTAGATTGTGGGTAGGAGGAGAGCCAGAGACGTGGGCGGAGTCTAGGGAAGTGGCCCGCTGGGCACCCCAGCAGGTGGAGGGGTCAGCCAGGGGGGCCGGAGGTGCATGGCAGAAGGGGACCAGGCTCAGGAGGGGCTGCTGGCTCACCAGGTCTCCTGAGCAGCCACCCCTGGGGCAGAACCCCAGCAAGGTGTGCTCCTCCCATGTGCCCCTGAGCAGGGGGAAGAAGAGAGACAGTGGCCTCAGGACCTGCAGCCGCCACCCCCCCGAGGGCCACAGGAGGAAGGGCAGGAGGAGAAACCCGGCGGGGATGAGAGGCCTGCCACAGAGCCCCTCTTTAAGGTCCTGGACACACCTCTGAGCGAGGGCGAAGAGCCTACAACGCTGCCGGCCCAGCGGGACCATGGGTACAGCGTGCAGATGGAGGGCTACCTGGGCCGCAAGCACGACCTGGAGGGGCCCAACAAGAAGGCATCCAACAGGTGTGTGGGGAAGAGGCCGCCGGTGGGAGGGGTGGGCGGCCCTCAGTGACTTCACCAACAGAGCCGCAGCAACACAGGTTTCTGTGTCGCAGGGAGGCCCTTTACCTATCTGGTCTTGAGAGCTCCTGGGTAGTCCCCTGAGCCAGCCCGCGGCTACCTGGCACGTCAGGGAAAGCCTGTCTTCAGTTCTGGTCCCAAGTTCAAACCCTGTGACCTGGTACAAGTTACCCAGCCTAAGTTAATTTCCCTATTTGTAAGACGGGGATGTTGATGATAGCACGCCTCTGGTACAGGCAGCGTGCCTGGCGCACAGGAAGAACTCAGAGAACGCTAGTGTTGTTTCTCTTATCCCAGCGCTGGGTAGGTCAGTCTTGGCACTAACAGCACCGCTTTGACCAAGTCCCACTTTTCACCAATCTGGGCGTCAGTTCCCCAGGTTTAATGTAGGAGCGGAGGCAGTGTGCGGTTGGCATAGGTGCGTCTGGAGGTCCCTCACCGACTATCACACAGTGACTCCATGACCTTGAGGAATTCATTCACAGACAGTGTCCATTCTTCACCCTGAGGAGGTCATGCCCTTGGATTTGGTCCATCCAGGGATGCCTCTATAAGCACTCTGGGGCCCTGCCTTCAGGCAGCGGTCCAGGGGGTCCCAGGGAAACAGGGCAGCTTCAGGGGGTTGAAGCCAGCCACATTCCCAGGGCCAGCTGGCAGCACACAGAGCCTGTCCTGGGGGACACCAAAGCTAACACCAATTCCAGAAATGCACGTGGGGACCCCACTGTCCTGAAGAGGTTTACTGCTTATGCGGAGAGTCCGCCAGGAAAGAGGAAGCTAGCATTCATTGAGCACCTACTGTGTGCCAGGCATTATGTTAGGACGGAGAGAACCTTCCTAACCACCCTGTAACATTGAGATTTCCATTTTCCAGATGGGGAAACAGTCTCAGAGAGGTTAAGTCATTTTATTCCAGGACCCAGGCCCTTCTTAGCAATTGCCTTACCTGGGCTATAGCTCAAAGGTGGTGGTGAGGGCCACAGGAAAGACCCCCAAGCTGGGCATCAGAAATCCGGGCTCTGTAAGACGGCTCGGCCGCCAGCTTTGTACAGGTCAAGTTCTCTCCCTGACCTTCCGGTCCTCCCTCCCTATGTGCCCTACTAGTTCTCCACCTTCCTGCCCCCAAAGGGAGGGAGTGAGGGAGGGGGAAAGAAAAAAGAAAGGAAGAAGAGGAGGTGGAGGAAGGAACAAAAGCTTAAGTGTTTCTCAGCACTGGTTTCTGTGAAAATGCAACATGTTTCCTGCTTATCAGCGAAGGGGCTCCCATAAGCCCACACAGTAGTTTATAAGCTTGTAGTTGTCACCACACATACCAGCTGAGATAAGCCTTGATTTACACTAATATGTTTCTTTTAAAAGTGCTAGTACAGCACACCTGGCATATATCAACAAAACAAAAAATAACAGCAACCACCAAAACAAACCTCTGCTTTATTCATTTCATAGTTCTGTAGTGAAAATCAAATATGCCAATGGTGTGGAAATGCTCTAAGAAGTTTACACTGTTGATCTTTAAGTCAATAATTCTATTTCTAAAAATGTACTTCAAGATCAGAAGTAAAGGCAAAGATTCATGTACAAAAATGTTTATCACATTGTTAAATTGTACTGTTTAAATTTCTAGTATCACATGGTCCACCAATGAAGGGATTATTTATATATGATGGGATACCATATAGCTATTCAGAACTACTTGCAAGAAATATTTGAGTATATGAGGAAACACTCACGATACAGTGTTAAACTTAAAAGCAGGATATAAAACTGGTTGTACAGTATAATCCAATTTTAGCTATATACAGAAGTGGGCAAAAGTAGATTTACAGTTGTGATACAAATACAATTAATAAATAACACAAGAATAAACTCTGTGTTTTGGGTACTCACAACTGTAAGCCTACTTTGGTCTACCCCCGTATGTGAGTAGAAAAAGACGTGAATATGTGAATCGAAAAAAAGACCAGAAGGAAATAAACGTTAATAGTTAACTTTTGGCAATGAAATTACATGGAGATTTTTTTTACAGTAAGATGTGTTACTATTTATCGGGGTGGGGGGGGAATGGTGTAATAGGAAAGGCACAGCTATAGGCACTGAGGACAGAGATGCTGTATCAGGACTCCGGGTGACCCGCCTTCTGCGCCGCTGCAGGTCCTGGAACAACCTGTACTGCGTGCTCAGGAACAGCGAGCTGACCTTCTACAAGGATGCCAAGAACCTGGCCCTGGGGGCGCCCTACCACGGAGAAGAACCCCTGGCCCTGAGACATGCCATCTGTGAGATCGCTGCCAACTACAAGAAGAAGAAGCACGTCTTCAAACTGAGGTGAGCTCCCCCGCCCCTGTCCACTGCCCCTTCCCTGGCTCTTTGATTTTGCATTGGTGGCTGGACAGGGGCCTGCTACAGGGGACCAGCTCCAAGCCTGAGTTGGCCCTCAGGGGTTTCTCAAATCCAAACGGCTAATGGCTAACCGTCCAGATTCTTACCTCTCAGAGGTGCTATGTGCCTGAAAGGGGGCTGTGGGTTGGAAGCCAGCCTTCCCTCTGTCCCAGGCAGAGGGCTCCAGAGGTGGCCCCAGGACAGGAACCCTTTTGTCCTCCCAGGCTGAGCAACGGCAGTGAGTGGCTCTTCCATGGCAAGGATGAGGTAAGTGCAGGGCAGCCCAGCCCAGACCCCTGCTAACAAAGGGGCGGGAGGAGGCTCAAGCCACTTGGCCTCCAGGCTCCCTCAGAATGGGCGGTCCTGGGGGCCCCCTCCCACCCTTTGCGGGGCCTCCCTGGAGAGGTGTGAGGCCCTGACCCTTCCCCCCTGTAGGAGGAGATGCTGTCCTGGCTGCAGGGTGTGAGCACCGCCATCAATGAGTCCCAGAGTATCCGCACCAAGGCCCAGAGCCTGCCCTTGCCCTCCATCACCGGCCCTGACGCCAGCCTTGGCAAGAAAGAAAAGGAAAAGAGATTCAGCTTCTTCCCCAAAAAGAAGTAGCCTCTTGCGGTGCCCCACAGGCGGGGCTGGGCTGCGGGTGCCACAGTGCCTCCCTCGACTGCCCAGGACAGGCTGGGGCGCCCTCGGCCTTGACCATGGCCCTCCTGCTGCCTGGTTGCCCGCTGCCTGCTGCCTGCCTGCTCCGAGTCGCGGGCCAGGGCTCCGGGGCCCACGCTGCACTGCAATACCTGCCTTCACCTGCCTGGCCCGATGCCTGCTCCCCCACCATCTGCAGAGCAGCTCTAGGGACGGAGGCTCCCAGCTCCACTGGGTCTCCAGGCCTGCGGGCAGAGTATGGTTTCCCCAGGCACAAGCCCTCCTCCCCACCCCACCCGGGCTGAGGATGCACCAGGCCCCCAGGCCCCACAAAAGCTGGAGAAGGCTGATGGGTTCACCTGATGCTGCCCACTCCCAAAGCAAGTCTTGCTTGGGGTCACCCCCTACTTAGTCAAAACCAAGGAAAGGGAAGAAGACACTGGGAATACCTGACCCAACCCTGGGGCATGAGGAAGGAGCCTCCAGATAGACACACGGGGCCCTAGGTCTGGGAAAAGGGCTGCTGGGGACTGAGGGGACCCTATGGGCCTCCTCCCCACTGGGCTTCCTCAGAACCGGGTCTCTCAACCTCAGGGGCCACCACATCCCTCCCCGCCCACCACCAAAAAAGCCGGGGCGGGGGGGAGGCACCCTTCAAGGTCCATGGGTCCTAAGTGCAAGGGGCCTCCCGCCACCTCCAGCACCCTTTGCTACCAAACATAGGTGGTAGAAGGATCAGGAAGCTCTCCAGCCAGTCTTTTCATAACTTCAGTTAGAGCTTAGGGCTAGGGCTATGGCTCAGACTGAAGCGGGTAGACAAGTCCCGACACTGCCTAAGGCGCTGCCTCTCCACTCTGGGAACCGCCCCCCCCCACCTCCCAGTAACAGCTGAACCAGCAATATCTGACTCAGACCCAGGACCCCTTAGAGACGGTACGGCCCCCAGATGCCAGACGGACAGCCCAGCACCTGGAGTGAAGCAAAGCCAAATGCCCAATGGATGCTGTCTACAGCTGGTACCAGCCGAGGGTACTGGCCGGACAGCCAAGTTCATGCATGACCTATCACCCTGGGGTGGCACACATGGCCACTCCTGAATGTCACCACCCACGTAACAACCCATAGCTGGGACAAACGCTGGGGCCAGAGCCATGAAGGTGTGGCGCCTTTGCTCAGCTTCTCCTGAAGGTTCTGCACGCCGGTCTGCCCCCCCGCCGTACCCCCACCCCAAGCACAGCCAAAGGGGCCCTGCAACCTAGAGCCGCGGGGACAGCCTTCCCCAGGCTGCTGCAGTCGGACTTCTGGAAGGAGGAGGGCACTCGTTCCACAAGGGTTTCCCCCACCACCCTTGGAAAGCAATACAGCTCCAGCCCGGCATCTAAACTGGGGTTAAGGTCCAAAAGAAGGTCAAGTTGGTGGCAGTAGGCGTTGCCCCTGGGGAGACCAGAAAGGTCCCTGGGGCCCGCAGCTGCCATTTCCATCACCTTCCCCGTGGGAAGGAGCCTCAGACACACAGATGATTGCTCTGGATGTGGGTGCGGTTCAGGTCGACGCCACAGGGGTGGGTACCCAGGGTCCCTAGGCCTCCCAGGAGCTCCTAGTGGGGGAGATCAACACCTCGGGGATCAAGACCACTATGTCAAGGTGAGGTTGACTTCAGCAGACAGGAACCACAGGAGGGTGACGTCCTCTGATGGATCCTGACACCCCCAGGTCAGGTGGTCCCCACCTCTGTAGCCAGGGTCTTCATTGGGCCTCTGTGCACTTAACCCTACAGCCCTCTGTGTACCTACAGGGAACGTAGTATAGACCATTCACCAGCCTCTTTCTACACCTGGAGAAACCCAGGCAGGAGGCAGTGAGGTGGCTACTCTCACGAGGCAGTACAGAAGGCCTCTGGTCCATCTGCGGGCATGTCCTACTCCAGAGCAGACAGCACGTTCCTTGCTAAAGAGCAGCCGGTGGCAAGGGTCTCCCTCCACTGCTTCCCTGGGCCAGTCCTGAGAGAGCCCAGGGACAAGGGGCCACCCTTTGCCCTCCATATGTGCCAAAGCAGCACTTGAGTGAGGCATCTCCAATAAGCAACTCCACAGTCCCAAGAATGAAAGGGCCCCAAAGGAAGCACTAAGACTTCACCGACCAGACGCCCCGGACCGTCAAGGGCAGCCAGCTGCATGTGACCCGCCATCTATTGCCAGCTCCTGCACATCCACCCCCCCCCCCCCAATCACACGAGCTCCGACACCCTCAGCCAATGGGACAGAAATTGCAGCACCCAGGTTTGGGAAACTGTGCCACATGGGTGCTAAGCTGCTCACACCCTGGCACAGTTTTATGGGTGGGGGGGTTGTTACTGTTTTTGGTCCTTCCATTTTCTACTCTGCAATCTTTTAACAGTATTCCCAAACTAGGTTGACACAGCTCCAGTCCACACCAGCACAACTCCCAGGGCAGTTTAGAAGGAGCTCCTTCTGGGCATGGTCAGGTGGTCCTCCTTCCCCGTCATCCCCTGGCCTCCCCGGGCTCTGGCTGAGGGGGGTGTGGACGGTTCTTGGGCTTCCCTCCCCCCAACCAGAGCCCATCACAGGAGGCCTGCAGAAGGCTCAGCTCCCACCCACACCACTTCCTGCCTATTGGAGGGCAAGTAGGGTCCCCAAGGCTGGTCCTGGATCCCCCTCCTCCCTTTAGTGGGAGGAGACAGAGAACCAAAGGACCACACGGCTTGGTCCCTTGGACAAGCAAGCTCAGGGAGGTCACAGTGGAGGAGGCAGCGACAGAGGACTGCAGCCCTGTTGGGCACAGACCATGCAATCTGGGGCCAGCTGGGCCTTGTCCTCCACCTGCTCAAATGTGCTTCCACCAAACAGAGGAAACCCATTTACTAGTTTTTCTAATAAATCAGTAACACTCCATATTTCTCTCTATTTCTTATTTGACAAGCCTGGCTTCCCTTTGACTTGGCCTAAGAGGGCTGGTTGAGGGAGCTGTGTCCAAGCCAGACTCTCTGGCTCATCCTTGAGTCTTACAAGACAACTGCGCCAGCACCCAGGTACTGAGACCCTGCTGAAAGCTCACTTGGCCCGCACTCAGCCATCCTGAGGGCCTGCTGCAGAGCTTTCCAGAATCACCAGAATGGCCACGCCTGAGGTTCACCCAAAGGGGAGCTTTTGTTTGGCCTGGGTGGATGGAACATAGGCATAGCCAGTTTTCAAAAGGCTCCACTGATTATTCTAATGGGTGAGAATCACTGAGCTGGTTCAAGGTTCCCAGACATACCTAGATGGTTGAGTAAGAATCACCTGGGGAATGTATTCACTACAACTTCCCAGGCTCCACCCACTGAAGACTCTGAGTCAGGGTGTTTGAGAAGCAGCGTGTCATCCATCTCCTTCAATTTACAGAGAGGAAAGAGTTTAGGTGACCTAGCTAGAGAACGGCAGGGCTAGAACCAAAACCTGGGTCTCCGGCTCACTCCATTATGCCTGTGGGCTCTCAACCTCATAACCCCAAGACCTGCCTGGGAGAAGCCCGCTGTCTCCTCAGAAGCGGCCACAGGCGTTCATTGCAGCTGGCAGGACACAGGCTGTCTTCGCACTCCCTGCTGCTGCTCTGCAGAGGCTCTACCAGCCTCTGTGCACCCACCCATCTTTAGGGCGAGTCTGTCCTCCTCGCTCAGACTTGTGAGGCCCTGAGCCAGCAGGCCTGTGGGCACACTTGAGGACCCGGAACCTGCAGCCCCTCCTCCCAGGCCCCAGAGAGAAGAAATGGCAAAACGAGGCTGGTACACCATGGAGAAAGGGCAGAAACCCCAACTAGAAATAGGGAGGCAGTCTTAGCCTTTTTGAATCAAGGACACCCTGAGAATGGGATAAAAAGTGATACGTCCCAGGAAAAAAAAATGTACTTGCGCTCTTCACCCAATGTTCCAGGCCACCTTAAAACACTTCTAGGCTCCAGGTTTAGAATCCTTGCCGCCTAGGATGTCTCCTGGGACGCCCCGAAGGAGAAAAGAGTAAAAGGCACCAGACATTGGAAACCTCTGCCTATTAGAAAAATGTTCCATTCACTCCCCCAACCCTACTTTTAGTGCAACTTCAGCTCTTGAGGAAAAGAGCTGAAAGCTGGCATGATGCCCCTGCCCCCAAGACAGGATGCCAGGCTGTGGGTCAACAGAGAAGCCCGTGGGATAGAGCCACCAAGAGCAAGGCCCCTCCCACACGTCCTGCTGCCCCAGCCTCCCCCATCCGCACCCTGGTGCCTTGTGCTTTGTGAGCATGAATGGCAGAGGAGTGGACGTCAAGGCTACTATCGCCACATCCCACCTCCCGCCCCAGCCAGGCCCAGTAAGGAGGCCACACACAGGTCAGTTGGTCAGCAGTGGTTATTGCACCATTGGCAAATAATGAAATGTGTATACATTAGCGGCAACCACAGGGTCAGCAAGGCAACCCATGAAAGTACCTGAACTGAGTCCGTTACATTCTTCACGGGAGGGGAATCGACAACAGGGAATACATACACTCGTACGCGCGCACACAAACAATAAATTATGGACCTCGTTCCTGCCTGGCTCCTAAGAAAAGGCACAGCTAACGAGCAAAGCCTCTCCAGGCCACCTTCCCGCGTCTCCTCCGGCAGGCTCCTCAGTCTGGCAGTGGCCTGCCGACACTGGAGGCCTGAGCAGGGCTTGCTCTCCCTGGAAAGAGGTGAGCTTAAATATTTGGCTTCTTACCAGAGAATTAGATACAAGGAAGTGGCCACAATGGCCTCAGAGGGAAGAGGGGCTCATCTGGGCCTGTGGAAGGTCACCGTGAGCCCAGGGTTGGGGGAACCCCAGCATGGTCACTGCAGGTGAAGACACTTGCTGAGTGCACCAGAGCACTGTGCACCGCGCCACCCCCTTTCTCAGGGCCCTTGGTGAGGCTCCTGTGAGGAGGGTGAGCCCAAGCTTGTGGACATATGTCAAGGTTCTTCCTTGTCCCCCAAGCTCCTCTCTCCCCCAGGGCTCAAGAGTCAACCTACAGAGTTCAAGGCCTGGAATTTCTCCCTCAGGTTTCTCACTATGCCTTGCTGGCTTGGGTCCACTAGGTCCCTGGGACCCTCTTCCTGCAAATCCCGGCCCTGCCCCTCCATGGTTGCTGGTGAGCTCAGTCTCTGGCCGCTGCCCTTCTCCAGCCCCACCGCAGAGCCAGGCAAGGGCCCCTTCTCCATGACAATCACCCGCTGGTTGTTCTCCAGGGTGAGGTCTGCAGTGACATACAAGGCCTCCCCTCCATCCGGCCCACTTTGGGGCAATGCCTCGGGAGGCTGGGGCTGCACGGCCTCTGGGCCCACCCGGCCCCTTTTGGCATTCAGGCTGCAGCAGCGGCCCACCCTGCCCGACCGAGGCGGCTCCACCATGTTCTCTGGCACTGAGCGGCTCCGGTTGACAGGCGGGCCTCGGGCCCGGCTTCCCTCGGCCTGGGCCGCCTCATCATGGGAGGCGTACTTGGAGCAGAGCTCTCGGACGTCAGGCCAGTTGAAGGTCTCAGTGTCGAAGGGGCTGAGGGGGCTTCGAGTGGAGGGCCGGGCCCCAGGTGAAGTGGTCCTCGAGTTGGCAGCAGAGGGGACGGAGAAACGCTGTGGTGAAGTCTCCCCGGCAGAGCAGGGCTTGGACAGGCTCTGCTCCTGGGCCAACATCTGCTCGCGGCTGAAGAGGGACAGCACCGGCTTTCTCTTACCTGTGAGGGGAGAGAGCTACCTGAATCACTGGGCCAGAGGGGAGAGCAGAAGTGAGGGCTCCGAACTTCTGGGGAAGGCTGGATGGTGCGGTTTTGGGTGTGATGAGGGAAGAGAACCCTCATTTACCATCCACAGTCGCTTTATCAAAGGGAAATGGGAAAAATAGTCGAAGGAAGAAAGATGAGAGCTTCGGCTCTCCTAGAAAAGGGGGGCATGGCTACATTTCTTCCGAAAGTCTCTGCACCGCAGGAAGGATCGGGGAGGGCAGTGAAAGTGCCCAACCATGGCTGCACGGGTGGCGTCGGGGCTGCCAGGGCTCACCCTGGCCCTCGGCCGTTGGTGGGGAGTACAGCCCTCTCTGTGGTACAGGTTCTTTAGGGGTCACTTTTCCTCAAAAGCCAACTGGCTCTTAAAGGGCTCTTCCACCCCGCCCCCGCCTCGAGGGAGGGGCCCAATCCCCACCCCTGTCGTACCTTTGCCACTCAATGGTGATCCAGCCTCCTCCTGTAGGCGGGGAACGGTGGAAGCTGCATTTTCCCAATGCAGTGGTGGCCTGGCTGTCCCCGCCTTGCTCTTGATCCGGAGGCTGTACTGGCGGGCCAGCTGGTAGACCTTGTTCTTGACTCGCTCACTCATGTGGCTGTCCATCATGTGGGAGAGCTGCACTATGCAGGGGTGCAGTGGGGCCACCAGCTCTCCCTGGGAGCCACTGCTCAGCTCCTTCACCAACTCCTTCAGCTCCTGGGCCAGGTGGGCCGGGCTGGGCCGCTGGGTCGGAGAGGCACTCTCTGGTGAGGCAGCAGCTGACTCTTCAGTGATGGCCCCTAGATCGTGCTCCTCCAGGATGAAAAGTGGCTCATGCAGGTCAAAGCCATTGGCCTGACCTTGGCCTGGCCCCTTCCGAGAGCTCCCCCCAGAAGACTCCATCCCCTCCCAGATCTTCACAATTTCTGAAGATGGGCGGAACTCAGCATCTGTGATAGGAGCTGGGTCCCCAGAACCCGCACCCACCTGGCCTGGTCCTGGGAGGTCAAACAGGGCCCATGATGCCGGCCTGGAGCCCACTTGTCTCTTGTGCCCCAGTGGGGCCACTGGCTCCGGGTCCTGCCTTGGAAGGTTGTTGAACCTGAAGACCGAGTTTCTCACCAGGCCTTTGGGGATGTAGGAGAGGCTCTCCCTGCGTCGGACACTGAAGCCCGCGTCGTGGTGCTCTGCATTTTCGTAGTAGCTCTTGATTTTGTCCAGCAATAGCCGGTCTCGTGTAGAAAGCATCGATTCCTTCTTCTTGCAGGAAGACCTATTGGTCTCCGCTGAACAGCCTGGGCTTGGGGGCTCTGTCCCATTAACAGAAGGGCCACTCTCTGCGGCCACGCCCACACTGAGGTCCACTGCTGGGGGAAGCTGAGAGCTGAGGGAGTCTGTGGTGCTGTCACACCGGGCAAGGCCCTTCTCACTGCCCTCCAGACTGAGCACACTGCTGCTCCGGCTGGTCAGCCTTGGGGTCCCGAAGCCAGTGGACTTGCCGTCCTCCAGTGCCAGGCTGCTCCGCCGAGAGAAGCTGCTGACGAACCGCTCAGCAATGACACTGGCCTGATCCAGCACAGAGGGCGGCAGGAGGCTCTCAGGCTCCTGGGCAGTCCCCATTTCCTCCTCCTCTTCCTCCTCGTCATCCTCCTCCTCTTCCTCCTCCTCCTCACTGCTCAAGGCCTTAATGTGCTCAGGGCTCTTGGCCACCACAAAGTCCACCATGTCACTTGGGTGGTCCAGCCCCAGCAGCTCCTGATGGGCGTGCAGCTGTGTTTCCAGGACTTCTGGAGTCTCTGTGTCTGAGGGCATCTCCTCGGCGCTGGGACCTTCCACAGCAGCAAACACCTCCTGCTCTGTCCCAGGCTCAGGGTGCAGTTCAGCCTGGGATAGCACAGAAAGCTCACATGAGACTCGGGGCATGTGGGAACAGCACGCCCTGCCCAGAGCCTAGTGAGAGGGGGCTGCAGTTCCCAAGAGAAGGGGCAACAGGCCCTTAGAGGGAGGAATGTGACTCTGTCCCCTAGTGACCCTGCAGCTGCGGTGCTGGGCCCACAGCCCTCAAACCCAAGGAAAATTCTAGGAATGTAGATGGGAAGAAGATGGTGACACGTCTCTGTGGCAGCCTGTCTGGGAGCCACAGGGACAGACAGGAACATACAAACTCGGGATCAGAGCCACGGCACCAGTACTCCCTACAAATTGGTAAAGCAGCTCCCTACAGTCTTAGAGGTGCCCCACGAGGGAATCATTTTGGATTCAAACTCAGGCCTGAGCAACCTGAGTGGCCACTCCAACCTCCCTGAGGGGCCAGGGCCTCCCGTGAGGCTCAGGGTGCAAAGGGCAACAGGGCCACATGCTGGAATCCTGCAGAGGGTGAGACAGAAATGTGGGGCCTGTGCATATGTCTCACAGATGGGCAAGGCAGGAAGCAAATTTGAGAATTCCCTCTTGACCACCCTGTAAGTCATTTGAACCACAAGACTGGCTAGCACAGGCAGCTTTCCAGAGAGGTCTGTAGGGGAAAGATAAGAGCAAACACTCTACATTCTGAGGAATCAGGCTTGATCCAATTGATGGAGTCCAGAATCTGCAGAGCACAACCCATGACCTAGGCCTGTACTGTCCAGCAACAGTAGCCACCAGTCCCACGTGCCTCCCAAGCACCTGAAATGGGCCTAGTCCAAATTCACAACAGCTGTAAAGGTAAACTACACACCAGGCTGCAAAAACTTCATACAAAAGAAGTATGAACCATCTCATTTAGCTTTTTATATTGATTACATATTGAAATGGTAACAGTTTGGACATACTGGATTAAATGACTTTTTAATGTGGCTACTAGACAAGTTAAAATTACACATGTGGCTAGCGCGCTGTTATCACTGGATTGCACCGCTCTGGACTTTTATCCAGTGTCATCCGGGTTTCTTAGCCTCTGGCTGTGAGGTCCAACCCGGGGTCTAGGTCTCATGAACAAATTTTCCTTTGTAACAGTGGGAAAGCAAAGGCCTCCATCTCCAAACAACCTACAGGTGGCCTGGGGTAGCGGGAAGAACAGCCTGAGCTTCTGAGGCACAGGCCCAAGTCCAATCTCAGCTCCGCCCCTCAGAAGCTGCCCCGTGTCAGACACATCGCTCAACCTTCCTGAGCCCCATTCTCCCTGGTAGGGCTGTTGCAGAGAGTAACGGAATAAACAAACCTCGGACATGCAGGCGGTATTGAGTGGGTATCAATATGCTGCTACCCTGTGCCCAACGGGGCGCGGATGTAAGTTAAATGTCTGGCAGGCTGGCAGGGGCAGGGCCTTACACCCTATACAAGGAGGCCTGGCTGAGGGGATCTAAAATCTGGTCACTTCTGTTAACTGTGCCCCTTGGCAAGGAACTGTATCTGCCCAAAGGAACGGGCACCTTCCTCTCATCCACAGAAAGGAGCTGTCTGCTCGCTAAATCATGTGCCCATAAACCAGACAGGCTTCCCAAGGGATGAGAGTCCTGTCCCCAGAGATCCAATGGGAGAGCCCATGCCTGAGTGCCCCACCAGCAGACCTGGAGATCTGGGCTCCTAGACACCCCTGTGCTGTCCCCCTTCCACCTGCTGGCCACTCACCTCAGGCAGGGAAGAAACGGACTCAAAGCTCAAACGCTTCTCAGCACTGGTCGCAGACCGGTTGCCAGGCCTCCTGCAGCTCTTGGGGCCTTCAGACTCCCCGCGCCCCTTCCCCTGAAGAGAGCAGAGGGCAGCTGTCAACTCCCAGGACAACTGGGAGCTGGCCCCTTCTGCATCCCAACATGGGCAGCTCCCTCAGGGGGCTGGGCTTTGCTGAGAGCCAGCTTTGGACCTGAGCCTCTCCAGAGTCCACGTGAACTGCCAGATCTGGGGACACAAATCCCCGCCAGGTCCGCAGCCTCAGAAAAGCCCAACCCCCTTGACCCTTCCAGCCCTGCCGGGTGCTGCCTTCTCCCCTTGCCCACCGCTCCCGCCCTGTTAGTCATGCTCGCTGAGTAGTATACTAGTTCACACCCAGTGCTGGACCGGTGCATGCATGCCGGGGGCTTACCGGGGCGTGACAGTGAGTGAGGGGTTAAGAAGTGCTGAGGGCAGAAGTAAAGAAACAAGAACAGAGGAGTGGAGAGGGCAGGGGAAGGGAATCAAGGATGGGCATGGGCTTGAACATGCTAGGGAACATGCAAGGAGGAGGGGAGATCAAAGAGACACCTCACCATAGCACCCCGGGAGAAAAGTAAAGCGTTGGCCCGATAGTGCCAGCAGTGGAGGGCGGCCAGCAGGGAGCTGGCAAAGTCGGCTACCTGCTCCGCCACTGCCAGGCTCTCCTCCTCCTCCTCCTCTTCCTCTGAGCCTGGGGGCTCCGGCCCAGACCCCTTCTTGCTGCCTTCATGCCCTGCCAGGTCCTCCAGAGAGACCTGAAAGGCCTGTTCCTCCTCCTCGTCCTCCACCACCACCTCTTCCTCCTCCTCCTCCTCCTCCTCGTCCTCCTCCTGCTCTTCCCGGGCACCCCCTTCAGCCTCTGGCTGCAGGCCCCGAGTACGGGAGGGCTGCCCAAAGTCCAGGAGAGCACCAGCACTGCCTGCATGCTGTTCGGAGCACAAGACCCCTCGTGACCAGCCTCGGGGCAACACCCCCTCCTCCTTCCAATGGTCAGGGGTGAGGAGGCTTTACACAAAACTCCCCATCTAGATACGAACCCCCGGTCCCCACTTAAGCCCAGTGAGGACCAGAGGGGGTGGGGTGGGGTTGGGGGTCGGGGCCGGGGGGAGTAAGGGATAGGAGTGGTTCTCAAGATAGAAAGCTGGGACCCGCGAAAGCAGGGACGGGGGCCTAGCCAGGCACTCAAGAACCAGAGAGGCCTACCTGCCCCTGAGAGGAAAAAATGAGAGGATCCAGGCTGGGCAGGCCGCCACCAGGGTGCCATTCCCGGAAAAGGGTACAGAAGGGTCCCTGGGGCCGGGGCCACGGCTTATTCACCTCTGTGACCCACATGACAGAGCCTGGTGCACCAGAGGTGCTTGGTAAGTGTTTGTGAAGTGAAGGAAGGCAATGAGAGCGAAGGGAGCCGGGGGCTGGCCTGGGCGGTCCCACCCCCTCCACCCAGCCAGTCCCCTCTGCCCACAAGCCTTACCTTCATTCCCACCGCTCTGGCTGCTGCCACCACCGCAGAGTCCCAGTACATGGGCGAGGGCGAGGGCGAGCGGAGGGAGAAGGGTAGACAGGAGAGAGAGCCTCTTTATAGAGGACAGAGGCTAGAGGCCAAAGGCCTAGAGCCCGCTGGGGAAGACTTCTCTGGGGGTGCCTATTCCTAGAATTCTTGAAGGAATGACGGACAGAACAGGAACCAGGGCAGGGGGAGGGGGTGCACACCGCGGAGCAGTGCAGGTCTCTGAGTGTCACTCGCTCTTGCTGTTACCTCAGAACAGGGTGAAAGCAGCGGGGGTTGGGGAGCAAGCCCCCTCCCTAGACAGCAAGGAGAGGCCCACTTCTGGGAAGAACAGAGTCCCCCCTAAGCTGTTCCTGACACCCCCACCCAAGTGGTCCCCTACAGCACCTTCCTGCCCCTGCCCGAGAGCCACCTGAATGGTTGTCAACCCTTCACACTCACCTTTCTCGCTGAGTTGCCTGAGCAGGTGTCTGGTTGGCTCTGAGGAGGAAAGCGAACGGGCAGTCAGTGCAGGCCTGGAAACAGCCCTGCCCCCACGCCCACAGCACCACCAGCCCATCACCAGCTCAAAGTCCAGTCGGGCTTGCCCCCACTCCAGCCTTGAAGGAGGAGGCCCTCACACCTGCCCCGCAGGAAGGCGGCCCAGCCCCTTCAGGCCTGGGCCCGCAGCTGTTACTGCCCGGCCCCAGGAGCAGCACCGTCCCACACTGTCCGCTTCAGGCCAACTAGCCACCACTCTGGAGGGCCACGGTGCCACCTCGAGCCCTCCCTTCCCCACAACATTTAGCTACAGCCCAGGCCAAGCCCTCTCATAGCGCCCCAGCTGGAAAGCAGAGGTCGCACCCGACTTTCTACGGCCCCTAGGACCTGGCACCACGCAGCCTTGCTGCCTGCTGGGGAGTGCTGCCCGGCCGGACAGGGGCAGGCCAGGCTCTAGGGACAGGATATAAAACATATAGGTCAGCCTAATGGTGTCGCTGCCTTGTATCCCAGCCTTTCTGCAGATAAGCAGGAGTAAGAGACGTGTGTCAATAGACCCCTCTATAGACCCTTGGCCCTGATCTATATTATCCTTGCCCAGCTGGCATTAAGTAGGAGGCCCACTATAAACCTGAGGCCAGAAGGTGAGGTCTCTTAGCTCTTCCTGGGCAGAGGGATATAGAGAAAAGCTTTTTTTCTACAGAGAGGTCTGTGCACGTGCACTTACACGCACTATAGATACAATGTAAGTAAATACCCAACTGTTTTCATAAAACACTCAACTCTTTCATTTTAGGACATGCCATCAAGAATATTTAATAAGTGACAAGTGATGACAGTAGCACCTCACTTATCCATAAATGTCCCGTATCTGCCCGTCTCAGCTCTCTGGAAGTAGGAGGCGGAGGAGGCCCAGAGGCAGTCGGAGCAGTTGGCTGAGGGCAGGCAGAGAGCTCCTGCACGGGACTCACGTCCTCCCTTCTCAGCCATTTCCTGGCCTGCTTTTACATACACGTCTCACAAGTTCCATAGGCTGATGTCTAGCAGATCGAAGGGAGAAGAAGGGATACTACAGGCAAGCAATACGAAAACAGGTGCGAACAAACACTCGTCAGCCTAAGGATGGACACAACACCACAAATGCAGGCCCTCTGTGTGGGAACCCACGGTTTCCCACTCCGGGAGGCCCTGAAAAATCTAGCAGTTCATACACCACAGAGAAGCCATTGCATCTGTGGTCAGCATCCTCTATTTTAAAGGCTCCAGAGTAGGAAGTATGTTTTAGGAAGATGTCTCTCTCATAATGGTTAAAACTAAAACACAAAAACAAGCACACCAACAAAACCTAATTCTTTTAGAGCGTCCAGGCTAACATCTCGGCCATGTGGAAACTTAAGCTCTAAAATGGCTCATTTCCCAAGGGCCATGATAGCCCTAGTTTGGATGCTGACCTATGCCAGGTAGTACTACTACTACCATCACCACCACTACCACCACCGTCACTTACTGAACAGGTCCGCGTGCCAGCAGCTTCCAATTTAAAGCTACGGCAGGTTAAGGGAGAATGCTAGAGGGACAGGGAGAGGATTATAGAAGGAAGTTAACACCGCCAACTTGGGCGTTTAACATACGGCCCCATAAAATCTTGCAACCGTGACAATTTGCCTAGGGTTCAAGATCCACTGGGAGCAATACCAAACAAAATAAAACCACAGCAGCTTTCCTGAGACTGCTCCACTCCATCTTTTACAAGACCAAAGCACACGCATCAATCCACACAGTTATCCAAGGGGCCTGTGGGTCACGGCCAATCAAAGCCCAACGCAGTGTAGAGATCCAAGCCAGGACACTGCTCCCAGTCATGCCCAAGTCTTTCTCTCAAGGGATCGCCAAGACATTTCTCACCCTAACTCCCACCATGGGAATAAGTTTGGCAGGTACCCGGCTGAAGCCAAATTCTTCCCTGGGCCTCAGACTGAAGGGCAGAGTGAAAACAGATGTAGAAAACACACTCAGGGGTATAAATGGTAATGGAAAAAAATACAATTAAAAAAAAAAAAGGGGATGCTCAGGGAAAAAAAAGAGACAAGAAAATACACTCATCACCAGGAGAGCGAAGAATGAAAGCAAAGTCTTTTTCAATAGGCAGTTCGCTCCATTAATCCCAAGTACATAGCAGCATGTCCAGTCGTGGAAAACCCAGGAGAGGAAAATGGAACTTTTCCTGAGACCCAAAGTCAATATTTCCCGTCTGGATTTGATGCCACTTAAAGTCTAAGTTGTTTTCGCCACGTCCTGCCTCTGCTCTGTTCCACAACACACGTCTGAGAGTCACTCCTGGCTGACTCCCAGTATCCTGAGTGGTGAAGAAGCGGGGTTTCAGTCGCAGGGGGGCTGAGTAGAGTGCCAAGGCCTGAGTGAACAAGGATTCCTAGGGCCTTGGAAAAGGTGGGCTGCCCAGCTTTAATGGGCAAGAAAGGCCCAAAGGTGCCAGGTGGAGGGTGGCACAAGGAGAGGATGTTCCACACACGCCCATCTTGCCCTTTCCCAGGATTCTGGAGGTGAGAGCCAGCCCCAAATGCTGCTGCAAACGGTCTCCCGCCTGGCCAGGGGCCTAGGAAGGTGCCTCTCTGCCCACACAGCCCATCCCTTACCAGACTGCCGGCGCCCCTGGCGACGCCCGTCGTGGGTGGACACCTCATCCTGGGAGGACCAAGCCTTCTTCAGGCGCTCTGGGCTGTAGCGGTACCGATTGGGATCTGCACCCAGGAGAGACAATCAGGCCTTTGGGACCCTGTCAGCCTTGGCACAGACTCTGACCATATCCGACCACGCCTCTGCTGCCCACCCCAACTCCGGGGGCCAGGAGCCCCCTCCTCTGCCATCTTCCATCCAATTGCATTCGGGAGCATCAGGCACAGAGAGCCCATCGGCCAGCAGGGCCGTGCCCCTGGGCTCACAGTAGACCCCCAGGCCCTGACAATAGGAGTTGCCCAGTCCTCCCTGCTCCCTGGAATCTTAGTGTCAGGAAAAGCTTCCCCAGGACGCAGCCTGACCTAGAAAGGTGCACAATTAGGGACAAGCAGGCAGGAAGGCTACCTATACTTACAATAGGAATCCATTTCCAAGATGGCTTCCTTGGCCTGGAAGGGAAGAAACCCGACTCCTTACAACCTGGACATGCGCCATGCCTCCCCCAGCGCACAGACTACCTCTTGCTGAGTGAAGACACCCCGCAGTGCTCTGCTGAGGCCCAGGGCATCCACTGACCTTACTCCCACTGTGGAGCCAATGTCCAGAGGGCGAGGCCCTGGCGGACCCCGCCCCCAGTTGGCTCTGAAGGACACCCCATCCCTGTTCCCCATCGAGAGCTGGGGGTGGGGGTGCCCCAGGAATGCACCTTCTGGGGGATGGTGGTGTGGTGGTTCTCCAGGATGAGCCTCTTGATGTGGTGAGTCCAGGTCCGTTTCTCCTCCACCGTTTTGGCCTGGAAGGACCCGAGGGAGAGGGAGCGAGGGAGCCGGGGGTTATCACAGGCCTGAAGGCACATGACATGGGCCGTGCTTCTGCCGAGCAGGGCAGAGGGGGAAAGAGGGCCTCTACTGGCGCGCCTGCGAGGCTACTTCAACTCGTCAGCCCAAGCCCAAGGGGTACCCACAATGGCCCCAACCTTCCAGAGGGAGACCCTGGCGCTCAGCACAGCTAAGTGAGCGGAGGCAGGACTGTCCCCAGCCCGAGCCCCCTGGGCCATCCCTCACCTGGATGCTGTACTGCTGCTTGCTGTGCTTGTAGTGAGTGACAGTGAAGCACAGGGAGTCTCTGGTGCTTTCAATCAGCATCAGGGAAGAGCACTGGGGGGAGAGAAAGGGCCGTCAAGCGCAAGGAGGGTGGAAGGGGCAGCTTACCTGGAGCCCCAGCCCCACAAAATCACCTGGGGAGGCAGGGAGAGAAATTGAAGAAGGATGGAGCTGCACCACAATTACTTGGGTTTGATGAAGACAAGGGCAGAGAGGGAAGGGAAGGGGGTACAGGAGACAGCGGCAGCCTGGTTACCGGAATGTGCCCCTTGTAGACAAAGTGATCGCCCCGCTTCTTGGTGATGAGAAGCGCTTTGTCAAAGAGGAAGAAGGTCTTCTCGCTCCGCACGCGGTGCAGGCGGAACGTGCCCTCCAGGACAAGCTCCCCATAGATGGTCAGGTCCGGCCCCTTCCAGTTGATGAGCAGTGACTGAATCTCCTGCAGCACAGAAGCCCCAGCCCCAAGGGTCAGGCTTCTTGTGACCTTGCTGGGGATCCACAGGGTTCCTGGAGGCTCCTGAAAATCCAGCCACTGCTGGGTCTCCCCAGAGAAGCCTGTCCCACACAGATGCCACACCTCAGCTCACCCTGACAGGGCAACCGCATTCCTTCTCCAAGCCCACGCCCACCCAACCAACCACCCTTGCATGACCCTACAGCCACCAGCCCGGAGCACCTGCAGCCGGACTGCGTGCTCGTGCCTCCTCTTCATATCATTGATGTACCAGGCCACACAGGTCATGGTGTCAATGGCTTCCTCCACCACCTCGAAGCCATCCTCTTCCTCATCAAAGTGTTTGGCAATTTCCTGCATGGGAGACAGGAACTTAGGCAGCCCACAGACTCAAGAGTCCTGCCTCCCCCAGCCACCCATGTACTCAGGGGACCCTTGGGTTACCTGCAGCAGCAGGTGGTACTTGAGGATGCGCTGGACTGGCTTCAGCAGGTAGGAACCCAAGGGCAGCGAGTGCTGCAGCAGCTCCTGTCGGTCCCGGAAGAACTTGGCCTGCTGCTTGTCCCGCATGCACTCCATCAGGGCGGCCACTGAGCTGGGAGTGGGGAAAGGACGGTCACCGCCTCGGAAGGCCTGGATGGGGAAGTGGGGTGCTCCAGACTCACCAAATGGATCAGCCTCCCCTCTCCACCCCAATTACTCACTTGGGGTAGTTGTTGCAATACTGGGTGTAGATATCAAACTCTTGGCTCTAAGGAGAAACCAAAAATAGTGATTTCAGGAAGTCTCTCATTGGACTGTAAACCCCGATGTTCCAAAGACATACCCCAAGTCTCCAGAGTAGCTCTGTCCCCCCTTCCCTGAGCGTCTGTAGACCCATCATTGTATGCCATCTGTCTGGGGCACACCATCCACCCAGCACCCCCTGGCTCCACCCAGAATACCCACCCCTTCCAAGGCAGGATACCTGGCACTTCCCCTGGAGATGGGGCTCCAAGGCTCAGGTGTTCCCTGAAGGTGGGAGTTCCTGTTCCACTGAGCCTCCAGCAGAACAGAGCAAGAGGCAAAGACCCAGCCCTTCTTACCCTTTCCACAAAGCAGCTGGCCACTGCCACCGGGTCACCATTGCAGTTGTCCAGGTCTCTGAGTAGCTGGCTGGGAGAGGAAGAGTGGTCATCAGACCCTAGACCGCTTGCAGCCTCCACAGCTACCAACACACCACGCCCCCTCCCCAGCCTCCTGCTGCCCAGATACACAGCCAGCCCTGGTGTCATGCCAGAGCCAGAGCTCCCACCCTCAAAGGGAGCCCTGCCCAGGGCAGCAACCACAGAAAGCATCCAGCAACACTGCAAAGACGGGGAGCAAGGGAGACCCACGTGCTCAGCAAGAGAAAGAAGAGACACCAGTACCCACCTCAGGAGGACACGGCCCCTCTGCAGGCAGGAGTCAAATACACAAAAGCAGAGATTAAAGGAAAATGAAAAGAGAAAGAGGACTCACAAAAGAACCAAGATCCCCAGTTCAAAAGGATGCAGTAAAAGGAGACACCCCTCATTCTTAGATGGGAGACTATAGAAAACCCTAGAAAAGGTGCTCCCCCTACTTGCCAACTCCCTACAATCTGGCCTAGGTCTCCTTCCAGAATTCTCCAGCTTGCACAGCAGGAGGTCTTCCTGCCCATCTGAAAGGACCTACGGTAAGGTTCCTCCTGATCTACACTGTTCCCTCAAGCTCTGCTCCTCCCAACCAGTGCCCTTCCCCCGGGGCATCTGCGGGTCCAGGTAGCACACTATGGGTCCCCAAAGGGCCCCTTTACCCTGAAGCAGCCCCTTGCCAGGCCTTGTTCAGCATTCGGCATCGCGTCTTGCCTGACCTGTGCATTCCCCTAATGGGTCAGATCACTTCCAGGGAGCCCTGACTTCCCATGAGGTCAGTGGGAAGACAGAGAAGAAATTAAGAGATGTGCAAGTAGAAGACAAAGATGAGAAGGACAAAGGGGTCACAATGGGAGAGAGGGAAAAGTAGCATGTGCAAGGGTCCAGCAGACCCCAGGGGGCGTTGGCTCAGGCTAAACCCTATAAGCACACGGCCTCAGCCGATGTCCTTGCCGACAGGAAGCACATCAGCCTCAGGGCACATGGTCCCACAGGCCCTGTCTCCAGCAGGGAGCTAACTAAACCTTTGTACAGCAGTGGTCCACCCTTCCCCACCCTCAGACATCAGGCCAGGCCCTGGGCCCACACGGGACAGCCCACCAGATGAGGGACATCCAAGATCCCTCCCCAGGCCCCAAAACAGGCCTCACAGGTGAAACACAGTGCGCGTCAGGCCCACTCCATACCTGTTCAGTGCGTAGATGTTTTCTATGTTCCCAAAGAGGGCACTGACTTGCTCTGGCTTCAGCAGCCCAGGCGTGTCAATGATCTTCAACAGGTAGTCCTGCATGGACAGAGGCCTGAGTCCAGCCCGTCCCGGCACATTCCTGGGCCCCCAGTTGCACTTCATTGGATAGCTGTTTCTCAAACATCACCTACTCTACTGCATTGGACAGTTCCACCCAAAAATTAATATCTACTTGGAACCTCAGAATGTGACCTTTGCAGGTGTGACTAGTTAAGGATCTCAAGACAATATCATACTGGATTTAGGGCGGGCCTCCATGACTAGTATCCTTATGAGAGGACACAGAGAGACAGGGAAGAAGGCAATGTGAAGTCGGAGGCAGAGCCTGGGGTGATGCCACCTATAGGCCAAAGACCAGGACGGATGGCCAGCAACCAGCAGAAGCAGGAGAGAGGCCTGGCCCGCATTCTCCCTCAGAGCCTCCAGAAGGAACCGACCCTGCCAATACCTTGATTTCTAACTTCTGGCCTCCTAAACCAGGACAGAATACAGTTCTGCATCTTAAGCCACACAATTTGTGGTAATTTGTCACAGCAGCCCTGGGAAACCAATACGCCACCCTCCGCAGTGGGTGGCTTCCTCAGGAACAGCCAGGCAGCCACCTTCTCCTGTGTGCCCACAAAGCCTGAAACACCACCTACATAGCCCTGCCCTGCAGATGTATCTTTGTTTCAGAAATGAGGCACCTGAGGCTATGTGTGAGGGTAGTGGGTGGGGAGGCGGTTACCCCCGTGTCTGAGACTCCAGGGCTAGGAAACAACAGAGCAGGGAGGGATCTGGGAGCGGACAGGCAGGGGCTAGTCAGTTTCTTCACTTCATTCGGTCTCCACTGAGCACAGGAGTCCCTTCCATCCTGGTCAAAGGTGCCTACCCCCTAGGGAACTGCAAAAGTTCTGCGGGTTGGAGCAACTGGCCTGAGCCAGAGTCACAAGGTGGTGTGTGAGCAGTTGGCAGCTTCCCCAGGGCGGAAGATGTTAGGCTTCCCCACTAGTCACAGGAAGCAGACCTTCCGAGATAACTGTGCCAGGGAGAGCTGTCCTTCCGGGCTGGTGGTGATAAGTTTATACGAGAGACACGGTCGCCAAGGCCAAGGCCAGCCCGAGAGGAGGTGGGCAGGTGCTTCTCTCCCCACCGCAGCTCGGCAGCCACGCGGGCCTTACCTCCACGATGCTGCGCAGGTCCTGCACGTACATGCGCTCAGTCTCCACGATTTCGCGCACTACGCGGCCCAGGTAGCTGAGCTTGTGCGCAGGAGCCGCCGCTGCCCGGCCACTGAATGGGGACAGGGGTCCCTTCTTGTTCAGCCAACTGCTGGAGTTGTTGTTGTTGTTGTGGGGGTGCCAACCCCGCGGGGAGCCTGCCCCATTCTTGGCTGAGGCCTCGGGGCCACTGGGCTCCTCCATGGCTCCTCGGCTGTCACGGGAGGAGCCCGACGAGGACGCGGTGGAGGTCAGGCTTGCCGGTCGCTCCTGGCTGCTGTCCGGGCGGAGGGATGCAGAGACGGGCATCCTGGCATCGCTGCCCGGTGGGGGCACTCCGGGGAGATTCTGCGCAGGACAGACAGGGAGTCAAGCTCTGAGTCCTCACAGAAACACAAAGGAAAAGGGTGGCTGCCAGAGGTGGGTTGGGGAGGGAGGAAGTTGTTGTTCAATGGGTACAGAGTTTCAGGTTTGCAAGATAATAAAAAGTTCCGTGGGTGGATAGCTGGTGATGGAGGCACAACAATGTGAACGGACATAATGCCACTTAAAAATGATGAAAGTGCAAATTTTATCTTATTTTTAAAACCATTTTACAACAATTTTAAAAAGTTACTCTGAATCCCGACAAAGCCCCTTCCCTCTGGCCCTATGAGTGTCTCCAAGGGTGCCCAATACATTCCTTCCTGACTCCAACAGCCCAGCCTCTGTCTTTCCAGCGTGGAAGCAAGGTGGACCCCACCCAGGGACAAGACAGGCTCAGAAACCTGAGGCCCCAGAAAAGCAAAGCAGACATCTGTGCCAGACCCCTAGTGGCAGTGCCTTCTGATGGAATCCCAAGGCGTCTCAGAGCCTCGGTTCCTCACATCTGCCCCAGGGCTGTGCCCTCCGGGCTCTGAGCTTGGTGCCTGGCCCAGGCAAGGGCTCCATAAATGGTCAAAATGAAGATGCTAATCATAGTTGTCCAAAAGCACTTCCCAAGGGCTCACCTGTGAGGGTCTGTGGTGGGGTCACCAGACCAGGGTGGGCAAAGATCTGGCTCTTATAATCTAACACAACGACACGCATGCCAGAGGGCAACTGCCTCCCCGGGACTGCACAATCTCTAGGGCAACAGTGGCTGTACCATGCACCTGAAAACTTCTGGCTACTGACAGAGAAGGCAGAGGAGATGGTACCAAGGCTGGGCCCCACATTACCCCCTGCCCCCACCCCCAGCACCTGATATGAGCCCCTGACTCACCCTGGCTCGCAGGGCACAGGAAATTCCCCAGGGCTGAGGCACTGGTGAGTCTCCCTAAGCTCCGCTCAGCACAGCTCAGTCAGGGCTGCACGGCAAGCAGGAAGCTGCTCCCAGGTGAGGCAAACACAGCCTCGGGTGGACTTTATTCCCTGAACAGCTGGTGTGGCTCACAGGTAGGCCTGCCAGCAGCAGCCAGTCAGGGGAGGGCCTGTTCTCGGGGAAGAACAGAGACACCCCACCTCCGTCCCAGACGACCGAAGCTCACTACGACCACTTTCCAGAATGTATATTTGATTGCAGTTTCCACAGGAAAAAAGTTCCAGAGCCTCCCTCACACCTCCACTGACCCAAAGCCTTTGGCCCCTTGTTCTTGGGCTCAGAAACTTCTAAACCACAGACCACAGCTACGAGGATCTAGGAGGTACTGTCACTCTGATAACTATGAATTTGACCCTCTAGTTTTCTGTGCCTCTGTCCTAACCTGGAACCAGAGCTCCCACCTGTGCCAACACCCCCGAGCTCTGGCTTTTGCAAACGTTCTCTATGCCTGGACATCATTTCCTCCCATTCATCCCATGCCACACCCACCCACCTGCAACTGGCATCACTTATACCAAAGCCTCAGGTTCAGATTAGAAGCCACTCCCTTTCTATAAACCTCCCCAGAAACCAAAGCTGGGGTACCTTCTGTATAATCTTTCAGCACCCCAGGGTTACGCCTACTCTAGCACTCACTGCATGAGACTGAGGAATTTGACATCCCCTATCCAAGATGATAAGCGATCTAAGGGCTGGGGCTTTAAGGATGATCTGGCAAATGAATAATGACAGTGAACAAATTGGTGCTTCCACAAAGCCGAAAGTCAGGAGCATCGTGACCTATTTACCGTCTGTGCAAGTCCAGCAAGGACCCTCTCAAGCACAGGGCTTTGTCACTGTGTGTCTCAGCTGGACAAGGGGGGTATATCACCTGCAAGGCACTCTTTGTGAACCTCCTATTTTGCAGATGAGGACATAGTGGCAGCACTGGGACCAGTCAGTCATGCATTCCCCCTCCCTTCAGGCACAACCAAAGGAGAATTAATTAACAGGACCATCTGGGTGGAACTGAGCATCGCAGTGGAGAGCCCTTTGGGAAATGCAGTATTGCTGCTCCTTCCTCCCTCTTCAAAAGAGCCTTTAAAATTAACTATCGAGGCCTTTCCACAGAACCAGCCGGCAAAGTACCATGTCATTTCAGCACAAAGAAAAGCAAAGGCCCATACTCTGCCCCAGCCCCAGCCCCAGCCCTGTGCATCTCTGGCGTCCTTCAAAGCACAATGCACGTTGCACACACAGGTACACCCCGCCCCCCCACCTCCTCCCCACCAGGCAGTCCCAGCTGGAACCATGGAACAAGGACTTATGGGTCCTAAGACATTCCCCAGATCAGACCTGAGGTCAGCCAGCCCCTAGAGGGATGCTAAATGGAAAAGGCCCAAGTCCCAGATGGATTTCACAGCTGGCCAGGTCACAGCCCCCATCACCCGACATACATACACTCTCTCAGGGAGATTCATGTCTAAAGGATACCTTCTGTGGGTCACTCTGTTGAGACCCCATGGCAACATAATAAGCACACTCCAAGCTCAGGAACTAAACTACTTAGAGAAACTTTCTCTGATTAAACCTATCTGCCTGCCAGTCCAAATCCTCATGGGACTAAAACCAAGCACAACAGCTAAAATGTCTGTAAGCGCTATAGACATAAACAAGCCACTTACCTCTTGTAAAAACTCTATGAGGTAGATACTATAATTATCCCCACTTTACAGATGCAGAAACTGAGGCCACGGAAATAGCATATGGTAGAGGCTGGACTTAAACTCAGGCTCCAGCGTTCGTGCTCTCCTGCCTCCCTAATGGATGCCACCCCAGCCAGGGCCCAGGCAAACGGTTAGTCACAGTCCTGAACGCCGTGGCTTTGCCTCAGCATAAGCCATGGGGGACATATTATATTAAGACTCGAAAGATCAGGGGTTGTTTTTTGTTTTTTAGGATTTTACTTATTTTGGGGGGGAAGGGGAGGGAAAAAGAGAGGGAAAGAAACATCAATGTGAGAGAGGGACATTAATCGGCTGCCTCTTGTACGTGCCCCGACCCAGGACCGAACCCGCAACCCAAATATGTGCCCTCACTGGGAGTCGAATCAAACCAGTGAACTTTTGATTTGAGGAATGATGCCAATGACACCCATCCGAGCTACACTGGCCAGGGCAGGGTTTTTAATGTGACATTCATTTACCCCACAGAGTCAAAGGGCTGAGTGTTAAGATTCCTTACGGCTATTTCTAGACTTGCTATTCTGTGACCATCTACTCTCCTGTTAGAACAACATAGTAAAATACAGATTCCAGGTCAAAGATCACAGGTAATGGAGAAGGAAAAAGCAAGTGGTCATGAGGTCAGGCTGTAAATTCCCTGGATGATGAGAAAAGCTGGGCAGTGCCCAGGAGGCCCAGAATCACAAGGCTCACCCTCCTGGGGAAGAGGACCGAAAGTGAATGTGGAGACCCAGGAAGGGAGGGATGAGGAGCAAAATGGGGCGCTGAGCGCAAACAAGGCACAGTCAGGTGGAGACTGTGAGTAGACAGCACTTGACAGCGACGTCAAAGAGCTATCACACTCAATTTGAGTGCATTCTGGTCCTAAAAGCCCATTCCTGGCCATAACTATGTGTATAGTTCAGATTGTCACAGAGACAGATCAAGTATTAGCTACCCACAGGCCCCTGGGAAGCCAACCCTTCCTTCCTCTCCACTGAGCATCACCTCATAGTGTAAGACTCACCCCAAAGCCAAGATCACAACCCAGGTCTCCAAACTCATCCTGGAAGACACTGTCTGCTGGGGCAGTGGGAGCCCAGAGGGAGGCAACAGGCAGACAACAGCCAAACCCTCCAGCCAGATGCCCACGGCCACTCCGTCCTATGACACCGTGTCTCCAGTTCCCGTACCTGTCTCCCAGCTGTGACCTCTTTCATCTCTCAACATGAATCAATCCAGTCAATCATCAATCAGTAAATCAGTCTTCTAGAAAATTACTTCAAATACCAGGACTGTGAAACCCCCTTGGACAAGGTCACCTAGGACCTTTCGTTTTGAAAGGCCCGGAAGATGCTTAGACACACACCTTTAAGAGCCTGGGGGCAGGAGGAGAAGGGAGGTGTGGTTTTTTGTTTTGTTTTTTAAAACTTTCTCTAAATCTAAACAGAAGCCACACCTGTGAGGTCATCTACCTCTCCTCCCAAGGACTTCCCAGAGCACCCCCAGGCAGGAGGCAGGCCCCTGGGGCTCCCAGCACAGCTGACAGCGCACGGCCGCATCCTACTCCCCTACACTGTGCTGCAGGCACCGTGCCCCCAATCTGACCCATACCCCTGCCTCCAAGAAGAAAATGACACCACCAAAAACCCACAATTGTCCCCCTCTCCACATTCTGTCCTCAGGCCTCTCACCACTGAGGCAGCAAGACACGGCTCCCTCCACCCAACTTCAGGAAAAAAGGCCTCACAGAGGCACTCACCTTCTAGAGAACCTCTGCTTCTCTGGTCCTAGGGAATCCCCAGGACTCAGCAACATTCCCCGCTGGCCCGCCCTCCCCGACTGGCCTGCGGGCTGAGAAGGCAGGAGAGAGAGACGGGTCACTTGCTGAGGAACGCTCTGTGCAGGCCAGTGCTCTGGAGGCTTCCCAGAAAACGTTTCAGTTCAGGGAGGCTGGATCCAGGTGCGGAGGAGGCTGATGTCATCCTCTCACCCCACACCCAAGAAGTGGAAGCCCAACACACCACACCTGCTTTTGGAGGCGGACAGGAAAGGAGCGGCGGGGAGGGTGGGGGGCACCCCCCAAAGGCAACTGCTCCAAAGTCCATGGGCCAAGCAGAGGAAAGGGCAGTTCACCCGGTAACTGCACACGGGGCCAGGTCCTTCCCCAGGGACTGCAGACTGCCTCCTCGGGTCTTCCAACTACATTCCACAGGGTCTCCAAACTCAGGCAGCCTAACAGCCTTTGACCTTCGCCGGGACCATCCCCTAACTCCACTGTCAGAATCTTGTCAAAGAAGGTA